TTTTTATACCGAAAAATTTTTATTTCAATTAATTTTGAAATTTATGAGTTTTAAAGTGGCGTGGTTTCGAGACTTGTCTTTGCAATTGATTAACCAGTTAGGAATCGTAATCTTAGCAGGACAAATACCCAGGAAACGCGTGTCAAAAAGCCATAGTCCATTAAATAGTGGCTCTTCTATGAACACAGATGTTGAGCTGATGGACCGGAAATGTTGCTCTCGAGTTGTATTTTGTATTTGCCTTCATAGTTTGTCATTTATAGCTACAATTTGGCTGGAAGTGTTTGCCAATTTTATAATTCGCCAGAGAATATAAAGTCCATTCTTAATCATTGTTCACAGGGTTTCTAAAAGAATAGCATAATCAAAGTTAACAATTCCACTTTACAATGTATACTTTTTGCAAAAATTCTAGTAAATATGTTAAGGAAAAAAAAAGATACTTACTATCAACAATTTATTCAGTGTTAAAGCAGCTGAAATAAAGTAGAATTTCAACCAAAATTACGAAATTTAGAGCTGCATGTAACGCAAATTGTTCGTTATTATCATTCATGTTTAGCTCAGCATCAGGAGAATGATTAGCAAAAGCCAAATCCGTCTTCATCGTGAACAATTATCAATTTCTTTAGTTATATGTGTCCACCATCGTAGTGAATATAAACCACCAACATTTGTTCAATATTCCTCGATCGCGTTTGGGGATCATTTGTCGTTGAATAAAAATATATAGAAGTCTGAAATCAAGCACAGAGCAACAAATATTAGTTATCAAAATGAAACTTTGCTGAAAGACAAATTTGGATTTCACATTTTGCACGAATAAAGATTAAAATTCCGTTCACATTTCACACGTCGATCAAAGATAAAGTTCTCTGTTAAAAGAAACTTCAAAAGACTTACCTGAACTTGGTTTGAAGGAGATATTAGACTTCACAAATCGTTTCAAATTTTTCCGGATAATCTTAGAGCACTAACTGATGAACTGATTCAATTGACAAGTTCTCAAGCTGTACATGTGTTAATCTGGAAGTATGGCAAAAGTTTTGTTAACGTTAACATGTTGTGTTTTGATTGGTCATTTTTTAGGTGCGTCATCGATTATAATTTTTACAAAGGTAAAAAAAGGTCACGAAGCTACATCTTCTGTTATATTGTATTTATCAGCAAACGCTTTCAGTTATAATTAGCAATGCAAAAGAACTTCAATGACTGCATCCTATATTTTTAGTACATGGACTTAAGATTTAACAAACAATTGTTAAATGCTTCAGCAATCTGCTCTGTGTCCTTGACAAACTGCTCATCTTTGAAATCAGCCGATATTTAGAATTTTTTTGATTCAGCAATAATTGATCCCCAATAAGCTGTTAACGCAGTTAAAAACAATAATGCATGAAGTTCATTCCAATAACGCCAACGTCTCTTTGGGGTCAGTTACTTTCGAATCATGCAAATTCTAAAGCCAGGTTCACACGAGTAAAATAAGCAGGAACGTCTAGAGTTTTGTTTCTATTTCTCTAGATGTTCACAACGACAAAGACATTGTGATTTTCTTGAAATCTTCCTTTTGTTCTTCTTTTGTTCTTCTTTTAGCTTAGCTTGAATTTTTGCCTTATGCTCGCGCTTATGTCGATGCTTATGTAACATGCTTCGTTAATTATCTTTGCTTTGTCTTTTGTCAAACCTTGTTCTTGTCCTTACTTCGCGTGAACTAGGCATAAATGTCAGCTGATTTTAACGATCAACAAATTTTTTGAGGCACCCTATGGCTGCTGAAATGGCAAATGAATTGAAGATCAAGAAACTTATTCATAAAACTTTTTTTAGAAATCACTATGAAAGTAGCAAGTAGTGTTAATATCTATAAATTGCAGAACACTCGTTTTCTCTTAAAATTCAGCAAAAAATTACAAATTTATCATTGTTTCTCAATTTTTTGTCCTGATGGTATATTTACTGTTTCAATTGTTAAAGTTAAAGGAAATAGGAAATTGTCATTGGAATCAAAACCATATCATCCATAGAGTCTATTAAGGCTGATTACCATTCAGTGCAAATTGTCGCGCGATCGACTTTTTACTATCACTTTCTTTTAATTGTAAGCTCTCGACCGGAACAGTTTCAAGCTGCTGCACACGGTCTCGTGTAATTATTGATGACCAACAATTTCTCTTGTTTATTTATTGTGTTCTTTTAACAATACGTACTAAGCTTACCGGCTCGTTTTATGAACGTTTACTTTTAAACTATTACGTTTACTATGAAAGTTTACTTTTAAAATTTTATAAATATAAAAATTGCATTTAGTTTACAAAAGGACTGGAGCGACCTGCATGGCTGCCATCACCTGGCTTCAATTTTCCCTCCTGACTTATCGTTCCAGTTGTTATTACAGTTCAATGGTGCTGCCTTGCTGTTACTCGGCAGCATAAATATGTTTTAATTATTATATTAGCTTTTTAACTATACTATCATATTTTTATGTATAAAGAACTAATTGTATTGAGTTTTTAATTTATAGTATTCTGGTATAATATTAGTTTACAAATCAACTTTTGTAAAATGTAACATGTTTATAAAAAGCTCAGCTGAAAATCGTTTTGGAGAGTGGCTCTCCCGAGAAAATATTGTTGTTATTATTTGTATAAATTTCATAAAATACTGTTTTCTTAATTAATGTCCAAAGCATGAATTATGGCTTTTGCATTTTTGCCTCAAGTAAAACATCTGAAGAAGCCATATTGCCTATTGTCATCGACAAAGAAATTATCAAATAAAAATAATCGAAAATTACTTAAGAACACAATATCTTTCGTGATATCACGTATATATGTAATTCTGATAAATGTCTGATAGATGTAGTGTGATATATTTTTGTCTAGTTTATACAATTTAATAACAACAATTATCAGCAATATCATCTTGTAGCTCATGTGATCCAATTTAGTTAAATAATTTAACAATATCGCTGATAAACTGTTATTATAAATAGCGTACAAGGTCATGCAACAATATTATTAAGATATATGAATTATATTAATATATGCCATAGTCAAATGTTAGCTATAAATCATGCATTGATCAAAAATTGAATGCCACGCACTTTTACTTGAGGAATATTGTTTTCCTCATCTTAATTGAACTTCATATGTTTTGTTTCAAGTTGATTTATTACTTTGTTGATTTGTGGCGTATAATTGAGCTGTCTTCTATCAATTATGCGTGTTAATAGTTTTGCACGCAAATAAAAGTTGGTATCTTTCGTATCTTGTCTTTCTTATCACTGATGTATAATAGACTTGGTATTTCAAATGTACTTCCTCACCAACTCCTATTCGGATTGATTTTCACTTTGATAAATTATTTATCTATTCTATTGTTTTCATTTTTGTCAGTTGTGTTTACCATTGCTCCGATGCTTTAATTTGATAATGGTGTTGAAAGTTGAAGTAATTATCACAGCAAGCAATTCATTCCTTCAGTCCATGGGTCTGTTGCAAAGTCTATTTAAGGCAAGGATTGTGTTTAAAGAATTGTTTCCATCAGCTAATGCATATATGTGTAATTTGACATTTAAATTCTTTCAATTTCCCCTTAAGGGGAACATTGATATCGCTCTCTTTTAGTAATAGTTCTCGTGCTTGTCAACAAAACACACCAGGTTAAATGAGAGAGTTTTTTGTTTGAATTGTTTGAAAGTTTGGTTCGGTCATGCATCCGCCAATACACAATTGCATATAATCAGTCTGCAAAAATAATTTCGTTTGTAAGCCATTTCACATGCAGACACTGTAGTTTGTGACTACATAAACTTAATTTCTGTTTCTGCTTTTGCTTGTTTTAAGATCTGTGCTTAAAGAAAGGAATATGTTCAATAATCATTTCGAGAGTTGAGAATATGAATATGATTATGGACGTAATTAATCAACAATATTACCAGATATGCTCGTTTGTAATGCAATCTTAAAATGGAAAGTCCTTCTTGGTATAATTATTTTATTAGTCTGTATTGGTCTTTTCTTTGCACTATTTTGTTATGTTTATTAATTTACTTCATTGTATTGATTAGTCAAACAGTAAAGAAAACAGTAGCTGCAATGGAAAGGATATGTTTGTAATTTGTATGAAGAAAGTTTGGAAAACAAGTTGACGATGTTTTGGTCAACGCAAAATTGGTCATATCATGCAATTGTTTTCTTTGATGATTTTCTGATGTCGTCTGCTGTTTTCCTATTTGTAATTAAATATGGACTTGTTAAATTGCCTTAGCAAATCAATGACTTTTGTTTATCTATTTTACTGTTGTTTTTGGTTTATAGCTAAAATTTAAAAAAAGAATTTTTTTATTTCTCTGCAAAGGAAGTTGGTCTCTACACATGCATGCTTCTTTATTGCTGCAATTAAAAATATCAAAACATCTTGTTTATACAAAGCTAAAAATATTTCATTTTTGCTTGATTTACCATCAGTAAATTTGACTCAATTAGCACCATTCATCAGCATGCATGCATTATGGTGATGAGCCTGCAATCCTTGTAGTTTGAATATGCAGTGAATTTCTAAAAACACATTTGTCATATGAATCATTCGAATAATGATTAAATAAATTCAAATTTTAGGAATTTTAAGCCATTTAACTATTTCATATAAATATATGTTGTTCAAAAATGATTTTTAATGGTTAATTTTAAATAATAACACGTTACCTTGCTGTTTTAGAGTAATTCCTCTTTGCAAAAGGAACTTTGTAAAAAAATTTTCAAGCTTACATGCATAGCCTATCCTTAGTTTTTGGGTTTACAGTGCAAATCAGACTCGTGTTTTCATGATGTTTGTTTGGGTCCTGACCAGAAACACTCAATCTTATAGCTAAGCTCAAGGCTCCAAGTATCATAGCTAAACGTTTGCTCTTGGATGGGACTACTATTTTCTGCAGCAGTACCATACAACGAGCCCAGTTTTTTTCTAAAAACACTAAAACTTTTCTGCAAACCTCGTGAATTTTTTCTCTTTAAGTATAAGAATATATTTGACGATAGAATTCATTAATAGCTATATGTACACTGTTAATAGAAATATCACGTAATTTCAACCCAAATGAAAAGTAATAAATACGTTTGCTAAACGTGATCTATCTAAATATATACATACATTTTCATTTAGAATTTCTACAATGAGTGACAAGGTAGAACTAGTTCTGATGTCTGTGTATTTCTCGAATTTTTAAGAGTAATCCACTTCTCGTTTGTATGATTATTGAACAAGTTCAACCTGTCTGACAGTCTTGTCTTTTTGCCCAACGGCAAATTTTATGTACTTTATGTCTTGTCAATTTATTAATGACGACAAAAGAATGAAAGTGCCTTCCTTTTTTTATAATAACATTTGCGCTCACCACTGCAGTAACAGCGTACTTTTGAGCCCCAATTGAGTGATAGATACCAGAGCCAGAAGTCCCAATGATGCTCCGCATTTACTAAGGAATGTATATTTGTTATAAACTTTGTTAATACGGCACGAAGAATGCCACATTCGTCCATGACTACGTGATGGATAACCGTTATACTGTATTCCTAATCCAACCCTTCCTCTGCTTTTTTGAGGTGTCAAATAAGTTGAATACACAGGGTTTTTCAACTCCAACACAGCATAATCCTGGTCTACATAATGCTTTGGTTTATGAGCTTTTTCATATCTTTTCCAAATCTCTGGTGCATGCACTTTCAGAACTTTTACATGGTCAAACTTTCCTGATGCTTTTGGTATTTCTTGAAGAAAAAATTTTAATGTCATTTGAGTTTCGTTAAAGCGCAAGTGTTACATATAGTATGCCTAGTAATGATATTTTGTAGCAAATCAGAAACGTCTGTCAATTTCATCATGACGTTTGATATAATGGACAGAAATAAAATTTTTTGCATCTAGGCTTCACTAAAGATAAGGATTTGCATGTTGTCAATTTTTACTAAATTCCAGTACCCAAACACAGTTTTCTTCATACAAATTTTATATTGAATAATTTTAATTTTATATGGCTGCATGACTAAAATGTTTCCACGGTGATTTTTTATTCAATTTGACATTTAGTCGATAGACAGTATTTAGAATAAATATCAAATATAGTTCATTCTCAGTATGTTGCAAGACGATCGCATAAATTGGTTCTTTGTATAGAGATAATATTTCATATCAAAGTTTGCCATTGGTACATATGCACTCATGCAGCAGTTACAAGGCCATGTAAAGTTTCCGTTTCACAAAATTTCACAAAGGTGAACTTGCTGAATAGCTAAGGCGACTATTTATGATAAGAAGATTAACATGAATTTTTTCCATGCGCTAAGAAATATGCATGGAATTGTGCTTTCGACTCGACTCTTCTATAATTTAATAATTGAAAATTCAAGATGATAATTTGAAAACTAGTGATTTTAATTTTTTGACGGCAAAAATACTTGCTTAATTAATAGTTTGGCTGTAAAGCAAACCCAGGCAAAAAAGACAAACACAAATGCACATAAAAAATCGTGGATGACTTAGCATTCTCGTGCTTGTTGTCAAGATGGTTATTTCCTATTACACCATATGTATACATTGATCTTGTTTAACTTAAAGACGGTTATTTTAAGAAGATCTTCCCAATTCTCCGTCACGCAATTTCATCTGAACTAGCTATCATTTTTTCATTTGTATTCTGTTGTACAGAACATTAGTTGATCCAGCGTTCGTCAAAATGAGTTATGGCTGCCTAAATTTAAGTATTTTCAGAAAAACACTATTGGTTTTGAATTTCCAGACAATATAATTTTACCAATAGACATGCCTCTTAGGTGATTAGAAATGTAAGTATATTTCAAAATGTGCTGCCGTAATTTATTTTTGACGTACTCTAGATCCACTACAGATACAGAACACCTCAAGGCACCAATAGCTAGGCTTTTCGTGATAAAATGGTGCACTTTAAAAAGTCTTTGTTTTTTTTCAAAAAAATAAAATTGAACACAAATAAGCTTTGGTTGAGCTGAATATAGCAAGATTATGTTCATGATTAGTGATAAATGTTTTAACGTACACAAAATGCACAAAATGCAAAATGACAAAATGACAAATGCAAAATGAAAAATGCCAATATTGATTTCCAATATGTTCAAAATTAAAAAAAAACAGATACTGCATCATTTTGGAATGGTTTACCGACTATAATAAAAGAAAAAAATGCATAAGCCTCACTGCATTTAAAGGTATTTTTGACTGAGCTTGACTAAATATCACTTATTTTGTAAAATTGGTTATTTCATTTAGAATTATATTTTAGAAATAAAATAGTGCATACATAATTAGTTTCTTTGTACGTAATTGTATGAAACTTGTTATAATATTAATTTAATATTTTGACTTGCATGCATTTATATAATACAATTTATTAGTGTATTGAATTTTGTAAATACTATAAGTAAACGGCCACTTGAAAAACAGGTGCCTCCTGAAGAGTTACCGTTTTTAAATAATTTTAAATAATAATAATAATAATTATAATAATAATAATAATAATAATAATAATAATAATAATAATAATAATAATAATAATAATAATAATAATAATAATAATAATAATAACAAAATAATCATATGCAATCTGTCCGATGTATAACGTTCACATAGTCTACATACATAAGACAGATTTTCATTAATATGTGTGGCTTTGTTTATATGTCCTCCATTTCTAATAAAATAGATTATTTTAGATGCAAATGGCCACTCGGTTCTATTTCAAACAGTTTCTTTTTCATAATTTTCTTCGTTTAGCTCAGTATTTTGCGAAAGCTTTATGACGAAGAGTGCGGCATGTATGAAGTTAATAAGCTTATTGGTTTTAGTTGCAATCGTAACTTTATTTCTAATCTGAATAATTAATGCTATAAAACTAATTAGACGAGATTCAAATTATTATATTCAGTAAATATCGGAATTACATCTGTTTCATTTTCATCTGAACTCCATGTTGGCTTACTTTTATATAAATATCATCTGACATGCGAACAAAAAATGGACATTAAAAAAATTGGGAAAAAAAACTTTTATCGAATATTCACGCATTTAACCCTCTTGTGGTGGATTAATTTGAAAAAACAGACAGCGAGGATAATATTTCATGTTGTAAAATAAATGCTTCTCTTTACCTACTGCTGTTTTTTAAATTGGGTTATGTTATCAGTATCAAGATGATATGGATATTGCTTCGTTATAGACTCAAAAATTATTTTCTGAAATAAATTAGCTTTGCAATAACATATACAATGTGAATAAAAATCCTCACTTCAGCCTTTTGCTATAGGTTGGACTGACCAGCCTTTCTTTGATGAAATTGAGAGAGCTCTCTTAATTTGGGTTACTCATTAAAACGACTTCAAAGTTTAATTTTTAGCTAATAACTAATATGAATAGTGTAGAGAATTTGTTTTGATTTCAACAAACAAACTTCGCTTATAGGAAATTTGTTGAAGTAATCTTTTTGTCATCTGCCTAAATGGATCCAATAATGACGATTTCTTTATTGAATTTTAAACCAACATGGCGTAAATTAGCGATAACATTTTCTCTATCAGCTGTCAGACATAAATTTGTTGATACTGAGAACACAAAGTATGTCTTGGAAAGCGTTATTTAGATTTATTGGTGTTGTAAGTGATCTGATGTCAACCATTAAAGAAAGTTGAATTTGATTGGGTATGTCTTGGAAAGCTTTATTTAGATTTATTGGAGTTGTAAGTGATCTGATATCAACCTTTAAAGAAAGTTGAATTTGATTAATGAGAGGCTGTCCGCCAGTCGCAATAACATTTTGGGGTCTAAGGTGTTGAAATCATTATGATTGTTTTCATTTCTACTTCCGTAGCTAAAAAATAGTTGAGAAATTATAGGTGTTCGTCATAGGAAAGGAGACACTCCACGATACGTGATATATTTTAGACAAATGGCCTTTTTAGAACCTCTTCCATAGACATGACTGACCTTTCTGGACCACACCAATAAATATAAACGTCAAGCCAACAAACATTTTGCTCAGATTTTCATTATAGGGGTTTTATTGAGGTTTAAGAATATCTTAAGCTCGTCAAAATGCCATATACGGTTATCAGAATTTTATATGAGTGGATGAACTGAGATGTATGAGAAAGGTTTTTATTGAAATGGAGGTTAAGCTGTACATGCTATAGCATTTTTGTGTGTTATGATCACATTTATATTTGCACAAAAATAATTTGCCAAAATAAGCAATAGTAGGGGAGTGATGTATGTTTCATCTTCGAGGAGTTTTGTTTGTATAACAGATACTGTGGATTAAATATAGAATCTTTCAAGAGTAAGATTACACTATTGTTATCACAATTTACCCCTCCCACAAATAAATCCTGTGAAAAATAAGAAGTAATTGGAAATAATTAAAATGCAATGATGTAACTTCATGCCCGTATTTATGCTTTAAAACCGTTAACAAAATACAGACCGAAAAGTATTACAAGCAATTGTCTTGCAAATGGTCATTTTATCAATTTAAGTATTTAAGTATATGCACACTGTAGCCAACATGAAAAACATTTAAATGCTTTATTAAATATAAAAGAAGTGCGCCATTCTATGTACACAAATTTAAACTCACCAACAGTGATCTTGGACTTGAAGGATCTGTATTTGGATTTTTTATGATAAATGCAATGAGCGGCAGTGAGGACATGTCTTTCACTGATTAAAGTACCAGTGCATGAGCTTGAGATTCGAACTGCAGCATTATATGGTATTGTGTTCATTGTCTCTAATGGAACCTGATTGTAGGTAGTTGTGGATGATGATCTTTTCAGTCGCTCGGGTTTTGTGTCGTTTTCCTCAATAAGCAACTCCAGATCCAAATTTGATAATAAACTGTATGCTGCTACATTGTCGGTAAAAATCTTCCATGTTAGTTCTGTTTCTTCATCATCTTTTGTCTCGTTTTCCACTGTTAAGCTTTGAGTTGCCTTCAGTTCAGCAAACATCAGCAAGATAACAAACATTAAAGGAGCAGCTACAATTTTTCGCTTTCCAAATTCCAACATCTTCTCTCACACAATATTTTCTTTCTAAAATATGTTGTTGAGTTCTAAATCAAAAATAATTTACTTTATTTGTCGAGTAAACTTTTAAATTAGTCGAATTCAATATTCTTTCATTTCTTGTAATGTTTAGTTCTTGAGATAAAGATTTATATTTCCGATGCTATATATTTATATAATCGATAAGAGCTTTGCAGTTGATGAAGTGCTAACGAAATGTGATTACGTTGAAATTCACTTGACTACTTATATCCCATTGGCACTAACAGACTCGGGTATGGTTGGAATTGTATTCTAATGACGGTGAAGACAATTATCATTTTAAAATTCCTAATCAATCCATGTATAAATTACATGACGATTTTGGCTTCCTTACTTGGTATTGAAGTATTTGTTAAGGCATTTATTCAACCTTGGGGTACATGCCAACATTACGACAACACATAAAGCAAGCGACAGGTAGGTTATTCTAATCGTGGAACCCTACGCTCTTAAAATGACAGAAATTTAAAAGAACCATTCAGATCTCTTTCAGCTTGTCAATCATCTAAAAATAGCAAGAGCCTGGACACGCGTGAGTTCAAACATAAATCGTAAACAATGCTTTTTCTTTACCATAAGCAAGTGGTGGAACAAAATGAAAATTTATAACAAACCGTTTTAAGATATGGTTTGTTTTAGTGAAAATATTTCCATAATGTGCTTTTGTTGAAACTGGTAATATATCATCGACCGATTGGAATGTTAAAAGTTTATCCCTTTTATGTCCATATTCAAGTGTTGAAGATTGTTGCTCGAGCAAATTGCTGGGGGATATGGTCAGTTCATGCTGAGCTTCCATATGAGAAGCCACCTTTTGTAGCTTTAAAGATTTTTTGTCGAAATTATCTGAATTCGTAGCAATGAGTGAGTCAAAACAACAATATAGTTACTTATATTGTACGTCTGTAAAGATCAAGCAATTGTTGTGCTAGTATATTTTAAATTTTTGAATATAAATATTCCATTCTTCGAGAAGATTTGCTTGAATGTACATGAAAAAAGTGCGCCTTTAAGAGAATGATTTATGTTTATTGCTCTGAGCAAGCGATAAGTTCAATTTGCTATTTTTGACAGTTTTGCGCTATTAGCCGATAAAAATGAAGTGTATTGGTTACTGTTTTAACTTTGATCTGTCGTCAAGGCACGAGCCAATTAAAGTTAGCCAAGTAAAACGAATGAAATTATTTATCTAAGTTAGATTTTGGTTTAGTGTTTCTTATTCTCTGATTGCGTTTGAAACCCGAGCAGCAGTTACTAGTGACATATACAATTCTTATAGGTTGAATTTGCAACACCCGCAATGTCGCGTAAATTCTTGTAAATTTTTACCATGAAGTTTTGTAATGATATTAAACATTTTGAAGACCATTCTTAACGTAAAACAATAATGCAATAGTATTGTAAGAGGAATATGAAATAAACTATGAAATCATAAATAGAGAAGCTACCTCGAAAGTTAGTTTTCTTTTATTGGGGAATTTGTGCCAAACCACGAAACAACAATTGCCTGTCAGATAAGTTTCATTGCTAGCATGCTTTGTTTACACTCTATCATAAATGTTCAAAAATTTGATATATTACAATACATTTTCATTTGGCACCTACCAAAATGCCACCAGGATTTAATGAAGTAATTCTGCTTACTATATTTTGTTCCAGTGTATGGTAGCAATGGATATTGAAGTATTCTCCTTTATTGAAGTTGCTTATTTGACGTACGTAGCAATACTGAACAAAAATGTCCGAGGAGTTGAAAGACAGTCAGATAAACCCAGACTTGGTCGCGGATAAATTTTTTAGCAAAATGACAAATTAACTCCCTTTGGAATTTTAAATCTTATATTACTGCACGTAATACAAACAGTGTGAACATATAGAAGTTCCTGTTCAAACGTCAACAGGTGATTTGGATGTAACGTGCTGATGTAATTAATTGCCAATATGTCAAGTGTCACATTCTCATTGCTTGTTAATGAAAATGAGATTATCATGCGCTGGAAATTCTTCTATTCGTTTGAGTTCGCATTTTTTGGATTGACCAACTCAGCGGTGCGATTATTTTTACTTGGAAAGTTGTATTCTATCAATAAACAAATATAAACTTGACCTTAACCGCCAATAATCCCCCCCCGGGAGATAACAGGAAAGACACAAGTATGTTCACCTCGAATAACTCACACAAGCCATGAACCATTTTGTAATTAGAATTTTACCCAAGAAACTTTCAGCACTAAAAAGTTTATTCCGGATTGAATTTCAGTTTAAGAAACACAATTGAGAGGTGAAATGTACGTCGATTTTTGATCAACTTGTTCATGAGTCGAACAATCTTCTTTTAGGCGCTCCTGCAACGCCAACAGTATTTACAGCTCTAGATTTACTAAAATAAAGGATGTGTTTTTTAAAGAAACATTCACAGCCAATCATGTTATAGAGATTTGCAATTATAGAACTGCGTCTCTATGTATTGGAAAAATAATAAGTGCAACAAAAGGTTTTTCGCTGTTTCTTTTGTAAATATTTTGAAACAAAGATTTGCAATTTGTGTCAAATCCAGTAGGATATACCAAACGTTTCTAAACTAGTATGAAGTGTTGTCGATTGTCTTTTCTTTTGTGAAATATCTTGTATTTTTCCTGAACTGAATTGGTTATATCAGTTAATTCCATGTTCATGTGTGTATCTAATTTATTGTGTTTTTACACAAAATGATGCCGGTCACGATTTTCAAAACGTAATTCATTCTTAATTTGTTTACTGTTCTGGATCGTACTGATACAATTGTATTCTATCACGTACAAAATATCTACTAATAAACTGTCGTCTATCATGTAAAAGTGTTTTTTCTGTACTATAAAACCGTTGTTTCAGTAGCTACACGGTGAAACTGTTGTCTCAGAACCATCATATATAACTGGTAGCTAGCTACCCTAAAAACCAGCAATTTTGTGGTTGTAACAAACTAAGGTGACAATAAGACTATGTTACAAGTGTTTTTTTGTTGAAGTGTTTATTTATTGCCATTGTGTGGACATATTGCAGTTATTCTGAGAATGTAGAGACTTTTACATCATGAAGAATGCACTTACTGCTCTCATCGCCTTTGATGATTACTTTAAAGCAAAACGAGCGCTGAATAAGTACTCAAAAATAAAATGTCTGATAAATGTATGATAAATGACAAAATAAATGGAATATGTAAATGCTACAACTAGGCCATTTGCAAAACTTTTTACCAAATGTTCAAAAACGTATTTTTATGTTGGGCAGCGCTTAAAACACAATTAATGATAGCAGTACACAAATTAAATCTATAGTTATTTCAGCAATCAATACAACATTTTGACGCTTAATTCTTATCAATTGGTGAATGCTTTGTAACCAAAATTTATACATTGCCTCAACTGCAGCTCTACGATGATGGATTAAGAATGTTGTTAAATCGCGACTGTTTATATTGAATGATAGATCCCATTTCTGCTTAGGTTTTTGCCGAATGATCCTCCTACGCCTATTCAAACGTCATTTTTAAGAATATTTGCGGTTTAATGTTCATGGTTATGTCAATTAACGCCTACTTCAATTTTAGTGTAAATTAACACAATTGGCATACACTTCACGTGTAGCTGTTGCTGCAAATAACCACAGGAGTGATGCTTATATTGGATACATTCTCGAACTTTCATGCATGTTGTTTATCTACATTATATGCAAATGCCAATGATACAGATATAAAACTAAATAAATTCTTACATGAAGACTGGCAATCAAACTAAAACAAACATCTGTCTGTTTAAAATGGTGTTCAGCTTATCGATCTTTATGGTTGAATGTGAAGCATTTGAATCCAAGGCTATCTCGGACATACCATTGAGAGGAAGACAGGTGTTGAAAAAGAAACTATTTTTCTTGTTGACGTTTTGCCTTTCAATATTTGTCGTACGTTATATTAAACACTTGTATAGTGAAAACGAACGCCTGTGCTGTAATCCTAGTTACATAACTGGGACGATTGAGCAACATATGAAATGCGGGGGCTAAATCTTCAATTCTACTATAGTGTCTTAAAAAATACTTCTGAACAACAAGTTCAGCTCAGTTGCGGTGTCCCTGCATAAAACTTTAAGTTGAAACCTGTAAGTGTTCCACAATGTATCTATAAAAAGCAGTCATAGTGAAACAAGGATTGAAATTTAAACGACACAAATAAAAGTATTAATCTTGACCTTTAGTGCAATTCTTGTAGTGCACCAAAGGTCTGCGTGAGTTTTTAGAATTAAATATATTTTGAAGGGAAATGAATGCTCTTGACATATTCCCTCAAGAAAATCATCAAGGCTTAATCCTATCTTGCAGCTTACGGCCTTTTTCATTTGATGTGATCACAAATCGTTGATAGCATTAAATATATAATCTGTATTTAGAGCACTGTCTCTTTGTATAGAGCAAGGAATGATTAAGAACACTAAAGGTTGACGTCAAATCATTTTCAAACGTTCTATTCTCTGGATAATATTAAAATATGTTTCATAATTACATTAAAAAATTAAGCAATAATCATGCAGCTATATTGTATGAAGACAGTTTGAGATGATACAGAGATATAAAACGCATTAAGCGATAAAACACTCGAGAACAAATACGAATATGATAAAATTGGAATAAGAGGATAAAACATACTGATAGGATAAAACACCCATTAAGGCACTGTTCTTAATAATACACGAAATATATGTATAATGAGAGTAAAGGAATGAGATGTTAGATGCTAAATCATATCGATCGATTAATAGTTTTTTGTACCTTTATATACTAACGTTGGTTTTAGCTCTACGTGCTTAAGTAGAAATAAATTTTAAAAAATGATTTACTAAACATATCATTTTTTCTTGTTTTCCAATGAAAGAGGTATAAATATACTTTCTATTTTAGTGTAGGTTTTGTTTGGTTTTGGCACATGATGCTGAAGTGATTTTGGGCAAGAAGAAAATAGCTTTATCAAAAATTTATCTCTAACATCCCATAGATATTTATCTTCATTTGTAGTTAACCATAGTTTTAACTCATCCTGATAAATATTTTAGATGAATTTGCTCCAACTCACCCGAGAGATACTTAGATATTTCTTAAGACCATCAGATAGAAGAGTTTATTTTCAAAACATTTGACTTGTTTTAATTGCCTCAGGAAATACATCAAGTGCAAGCTTTCATAACAATTTCCTTTCTCTTGTGATTCATATAGGAGATTATTCAAGATAAGACCCAATAATTTAACGGTGTTGTCACAAATTTCATGAACACGATGGTTCTATATTTAGAGTGTTGGAACTGTTCAGATTCAGATGTGTAATGGTTTCAATTGTATTTATATAATGGTTCTCTAATCTATATAATATCAGTGTTTGCCATTATAATATTGCCTTCTCTATTTTGTCTACTATACTGCCGTACTCCCCCCTAAGGTAATTTTCTTTTCATTTACTTTAAATTTTACATTACTAAGTAGCAGTATTGCATTTCCATCAACATCTTTATGATTATTTGTTTCAGAACTGAAATATATTCACTTCCGTTCCTGCTGTTGACAACCTACTGTTCAATTCTTCTAACCGGAAAAATTATTTTCATTCAAAGTTTGGAAGGTTTTCTACCTTGGTATTTGTTTGGAATGTATTGTATTAACTACGTAACTTCAGATAGCTTAAGATGAATGATGTAAGAAGGCCAGGTTTTGCTTCACTTAAAATTCGTATTAGGAGTTTATTCCATGCAGGCAACATGCCAATTAATTTTACTGGTCACTATCTTTTAATTTTTTCTTCTTTTTCTTTTTGGATATTAATAGGATTTTGAAGGATTCTAGTGTAGTGATTAATTTTTCAGCTCATGAAAGGCAATTCAAAGAAAACATGTTAGAATCACTTGAACTTGTTACATGGTTAATTCTACTATGTATTTAAGCCTCTTGGGAGTTTGGTTGGGTGAAGGAACAAAGGAATTCGAAAGCTAGATAAGCCAACTAAATCGTGAATGAAAAAGCATAACTCATTAATATGGCGACATGCAAACTTTCTATGAATAAAAAAACACACAGTACTTCTATTTAACCTCGCCGTTTCAACCACACATTTCAGTAAAATTGAACATGAATTGGCAAATAGAGCGAAATGCGATTTCATCAGTTTTGGCATTAGGACGCCTCGTCAAAGAGATGTAAATTTGTTCAAATACTTTGCTTGAAACATTTTTATTTTTGAAATCAAAATTACGTAGTGAGCTGCATTGTAAGATGGTCGAGGCTGTGCACATTCCGGTATATGAACACTGTAATGATTGGAATGAACATCATGCCGATCTTAAGGGCAATGTACTTTCTTCATTTCATGTTTTTCAAGGGATCGTGAAAAAATTTATTAAAGTGTATAGCAATTTGAATTTAAAATCTTACACAATCGTATCGTTCGTGACAATTGTTCTTAAGTGTCAACCGCTTTGGAATTCCCTCTAATTTGCACTTCATAAAGTACTGTCGTGATTGAGATTGGCAAGATAGAACAATACCAAAAATGAACGTAACTATAAATTGTGCTGTTGGTATTGTTTTGATCATGTGTGAAGAAGTAATTCCCCTATTAATATTCAGAATTTAAATTCATGGTTGTTGTTGTATTTCAAAGTAACAATACGTGTCCCCCTCGTGTGGCTGTGTATTAAGTAAACAATTTCTTTAAAAACCTTGGCAGGGCTAGTTGAAATGCCACTATCAAATGTTGTTATATTGGCTTCGTTTTTCCATTTATCACGGAGAGATAAAACAAGGATAACACAGATTTGCAGATCAACTAAATTAATGAGATTAAACAAGTAAGAAGATCAAAGTCAAATGAGGGATAAAACAGAAACAACAGAATGGAATTGGAAGCTGTTCAATTAAAAAATGTTTACCAGCCTTCAATGTATACTATGAATTAAACGAGTGAAAATTTTTCAATTGATCTGAGTATAAGAACTGCACAAAAGTATATTCACAAAAAATCCAAATGTTCTTATAGTGTATGTTTAGCTCGTGACGAAAAATTGATACTTGCTTTGACGATAATATAAAAATCTAATGCTGAAACTAACCATCAATAAATTTATTTTCCTACTTCAATATTAGAGAAACAAAAGAAGTTTACTGAGTTTACACACTTTTATGTAAATTTCCCTTTAGGAGAACTCGAGAGCTGTTCAGTGCAATAATGGGATAACAGTAGTGTCAAATACGAGAAAAACTATTGCAAAAAACAGACTCTTCAAAGAAAGCTTTTATAGAGTAAATAAATCGATGGATAGATAGTAATACTCGGGAATTGCACGCAAATTTTACATGATAATACATTACACAATATAGATAATTAGATGTAATAAATATTTTGACAAAATTGTATTAGGTATAATGAAAATGCAAACTAAAACTAAATTTGTTCAAACAAACCAATTCGTATAATGAGATAATCACAAATACGAACTCAATATGAATTCCAGATATCGTTTTTTTTGGAGGGGGGCGGGGGGATAATACACACGAGCAAATGATTTTTTCTAATCTATGATTATCAAAAACAAAATAGGGATAAATATATAGCTGGATTGCAGCCACTCCCCACGGTGTCTTATGGCAAAGCCATATTTGATATGTTGGGTGAATTTTTAGAATTGTAACCAAACAATCCTTAGTCAACTTCAACCAACACGACGTCCGTGAACTAACATGCATACTATTTATAGACTAGAATAGCTCAGCACTTATACATACAAAAACTATTCATGCAATCAAAAATATATTTATTGTAGTTGAGGTCATTTGTTAACTATTCAAATGGCTTCGTTAACGAAGTCATCTTTATTTCCAAAGTACTGTGCTTGTAGTCACAACTGCTGTCTTCGAACTGTCTTCTGTTTATAACATTTACTGACCATTCATGAATCAAAGAGCACATTCCATGATGTTACAAGTTGTTACACACAATCAGAGCAAACCTCTAGATGAAATTCTGTTTTCAACAACAACTGAAGGAAATTTAAGTTTTATCTCTGATTTGTTATGGTATAGCTTAAAGTATTACATCCAAGTGAATGTAGTTTTTTGATCACAAAGAATTTAAGCAAAGGCATTGTGAACGGAGGCTTTTTAGGCTTTGGAATTGAATCAAAGACTAAATTGCACAATTTATGAAGTACGAAAATTGCACACATTTTTTAAAACAAAATTAGACAAACTGAGAAACGCAACGAGCTCAACATGATATAAAATTGCCTAATCTTCTTACTCGCAGCTTCCTCAAATTACATTTGATAATATACAAGTCGGTTTGGATTGAATTGACTATGAATTCATAAAATACGTTTGATTTGTTTTAAATTATGCTATCTGTACAACTTAGTTTCAACCAAGATCACTGTTTTTATTTGCTTAGGAATGTAATCGAAATGCTGAATAATCTCCCTTGGAAAAACCTAAACGAAATTTTCAAGATTAAGTAGTTTGTCCGAAGCTTGAAAATTACAGAAGAAAAAAAATACCACCGGAGATTGAACTGAATTTCCGAGCCCCGGGAAGCCATTAACAAAAAAATGCTTACTCACCGTAATTGCAATTCATAAATGTCAGAAAAAAACAACGCAGGCTTTGTTCGAGAATATTCCTTTTGAGTCTAACAATTTGCTAGTCGCGAGAAAGTTATGTTTGTTTCTGGAAAGAAAAATTCTGCAAAAAACCCCACATATTTAAAAAGAAAAATTTTAGCCATATTTGTTTCGACGAATTTCCTGACTTTTTGAATCGCAAAGATATTATATAATGATGGGAATTTCTGCGATTAACATGTGTATTTGTTTATCTAACGTAGGTCGTGACTCGCACATAGCGCAAACTACTCATTTATATTAGCACTTTCATTCACAGTGCTTAGATGTTACGACCAAACAACCGGCAGCAACTACGATATATTTAAGTTTGATGAAGATCACGCTTGCGGAGTTTGCTATTAACTCGAGTGGCAAACATGGAAGCTTCGTGTTCCTATTTGGTCGTAAAACGTGATAACATCTGCTGTCTTCATAATCATTTATATGGAGGACAGGAAGTAACAAAGCTTTGTCGTCTTTCTGTCCTTCAAATGGTTTCTAATGAAGGCATTCAACAATATATACCTGGTTTCTTAGTTCATTAAATGCTGGCTCACTTTGTGGCAAGTAGCAACGAAATTGCCAGGATTGAATCAGTTGTCAAGAAAGAAGACATCATCACTTCAATTTATACATTTGCAAAATGTTGGCCACGGCGCTCCTAATCTGCAAATGTCTTAGCATATATGGAACTTAAAAGAAACTGCTTGAACAGAAGCACTTTCTTGAAGTAACAATTTGCCGAAGAGGAAAAGGCTCCGAGCCTTTTTCGTGCGACTGTGAATTAAACTTTTGGAATTTAATTTTTCTCAAAATAGAATTTCACTTATGCAACTAAGCTACGCAACTATACGATATAATCAAAGCGCAACCTAAGCTATCTAAAACTTACTACCTGAATTCCCCTCTGAATAGGAATTCCCCTCGAAGGAGGCAACCCATCATGCCCATAACTTAACCTAGCTCGGTGCATTTTGCACATAAAGGTCACCTCCATCAGGGGTGGGTTGAACTACTCATGCATTATAGGGGTGAAGGAGTGCCTTATTAGTCACTGGAGTTCACCGTTCATGAAATTCGCATCACCAGGACTAACTTACCAATCTAGGGAAGAGGAACGATACTTTTTCCAAAGTCTGCCGTTTCTGCTGCCAGGTCTTGCTCGCTAGATCCAGCCTTCTAAGGTCTTTTTGCAGATGCAATTGTATCCTCTAAGCTAATGTACCATTTGTACCCTCTACCAAATAAGCTACGATCCTATTTATCATATTTGCCGGACTGCAAGACGATTGAAAGGTGCGCACGCACCTACGCAGTATATCCACACAAACGGTTTTTATACAATACGGTTTTTATACTTACAGCACTAGTGTCAATCATGCGCAATCAAGAATTCCAAATATCCAAATAATAATGCCCATGAAATTTAAACGTTTCTTTGAAAACAAAGAGAAGGATGCTTATCATATTTTTCTGAAAACAAAAAAAAACAACCAATGTTTCGAAACAGTTTTAAAAACTCTATCTCGATGCTGGAAAAACCCTTACAGTGGATTATACTGCACCTCAAGCAACCAGGATTTTCTACATACAAAAAGTAGTTTGGCACACCATGCCTGTTAGCAGGCTAAACTAACTATGGTAATTGGAAGAAAAAGTACTTTAAACTCACAGTTTATGACAGATCGATCATTTGCGAAGTTCGTTGACCACTTGGGAGCTGAGATCCAAAATTGGTCTACGAGGACAACACAAGCGACTTTTATTGCGAGAGAAACTTTTAGTTGTAGATAAATTTGTACTGCATAATATAAAAAGAAATTTGATGGCTAATCCAGAAACTCGAAATTTTATCTTACAGAAGAAAATCCAAGTTTTTATCTGCAAAGTTTAGGCTTTGTCAAATGTGTGTCCATTATGTTCTAAAAGAAACACAGTCACAAGTTGGCTTTCTCCAACGTCAATGTTTTGTAATGTTCCACAACGTTCCAGAACGTTTCACAACGTTCCACAACGTTCCATAATGTACCACAACGTTGCGATGTATTACAAAGGGTTGCACAATGTTTAACAAAGTTTTAGAGTGTCCCACTTCGCAGTTTGCACATCGTTCCACAATGTTGTTCTGTTGCAGTTCTTGGGTGTTACACAATGTCTCACGATGATGCCCAATTATTAGTAGTTTATCTTCATTTTTTTTTGTCTTGTCAATTGCATTGAGTGCGCGCCTCCCCATAGAAATTCACATCTAAAATAACATAAAATGTCGATGTTAGTCCACTGAATCTATCGCGAGAAGACATGACTTTACAAATGATCAAATGATTTTGAACTTTATATTTCTTTCTAGTAAATAAATCCGTTTTGTTTTATAAAACGAAAATGGAAAGAGATCCTCGCCAACACTCACCTAATCTCAATTTTACGACAACAGAACAAATTTAATTGTCGATCCTCTGATAGGTGCGCGTTTAGAGCGTGCCCTTTGTAGGATTTTGCAAGCTACTAAGTCTAGTTTTCACTTGCGACGTAAGAACAAGAAAGAAAAAGAAAGATAAGCATAAACTCCTTAGCTGGAGAAAACAAAGAAAATAAATTTTCTTTTCAATTTGTTTTAGTTCTTTACCTTAGGTATTGTTCTTTTTCTCCTAGGCGAATGGTTGCACACCACATACGCTTTATTGCATTATTTTGTATTTTGTTTTCTCTTTGCTTGTCTTTATGTATGAAGTTTATATCGCTAATGAAACGAAGCTTAAAACCAAAACATACGCATGCACAAGCAGAAAATCAGGCGTTAAGTAGAACTAAACTAAATGGGGAAAAATCCTTTTGCTTTGTGTTGCTATAGTGAAATGCAAGTTTTAGATTTCATTAAATGAATGCTTTGCTCTTTCTTAAGCCTGCTTTTCGAAAGTAGCCTGCGAGTTAAGTACATATGCACAGGAAACACAGAGCAAATGCGACTTAAGTATATAAGGACAAGCACAGAAACTTGAAGTAAGCGCAAGGTAGAAAAAAAGCAAAATCAGAAGAAAATCACATTTCTTTGTTTCCTCTATGCATATATGCTTTCCTTTGTTTTCTCGTATGTACTTACGCCATTAGTGAAAACCAAGCTTTAGGCTGCGTTTACACTATACTGGTTCGCTCATCACGACTTTTTCATTTGCTTTAAAGGGTTAACTGTTCGGAGTAAAAGCTTATTAAGCTGATAGATTTAGTCTATCTGTGTTTCTGACGTTGAACAATTTCACTGCCTTTTAATACAAAGAATATTCAACCTGCTACGATAGCAATCCGGTATAGTGTTAACGGGTCCCTACAACGTAAATGAAAATAAGGCCCCGTCCACACGTATACGGATATTTTCGTATCCTCAACTTTTTCTTGTTTCGTCCATACGCATCCGAAAATTTTAGTGAGTTTTCCGGAAACTTTTGAATCCGCTTTCTAGAGTGAAAATTTTCGTATCCGCAAACAATTTGGATGCGTGTGGACGGTAAATTCGGAGCGCGTTTAATAGCGCGTTTAAAATGTCGTCAAATTTGCTTCGAATCGATTCCAATCGACTTTCTACATAGCGTTGGATGTTTTGAATTCTAGAGTGATTTTCAGTAAGAGTTCAACCTCATCATCCAAATGAAGGAGCCGTCTTGCTCTTAAGTCTTCTCATTTTATTTCGACTTCTGTCCAAATCATGAAATATATATTCAAACAAAGCCGAACAACGTTTGCACACACCGACCGAATTCAAAATTGCTAACCAATTTACTGCAAATTTGCAACAATTTCAAAATATGTGAGAAACGGACAGCGCGAAGTCTTGGGAACTATAGTAAATCCGGATAATATCAAGCTACGTGTGGACGCAAAAACCATTTTATGCGCAACCTGATCCGCAACAAAAAGTTTACGGATAGAAATATGTCCGGATACGTGTGGATGGGGCCTAAAAATACGATGATGCTCTCAACAAATTAAATGAATTATTTTTGTTTTAACTTTTGGGCTGATGTAATAAGATAGATATTCACAATGAGCTTCTGAGTAATAAACGAAAATGAACAGCGATTTATAATTTTCTAGTTTTTGTAAAAAGTCAGGATTCCTTACTTTTTCATCGGAGAACAGTTACTTTAACAAGATCAAATGAGATTCTTGGATAAACTGTCCTTCATTCTGAAACAAGCTATTCAGCAAAAAACCGTGCATTGATTTATTTATAATCTAATGCTTTGAATTTTAAGTAGCTTAACAATTGAGAGCGTTTGTAAAAGGATGAGCACAAAAGAAATTTTTTGGTTATTTTTTAGGTGTCATTAAAATGAAAATTTTGATAAAAACACAACCGTATACAAGAGAACAGATGTACAAGTATTTTGGCTTGCACACAATGAGCATTGCTTTTTTGAAACGAATAGAACCGTTGATACAGTCTGCCTACAAACAATTTACTCAAAAAAGTATTTTCATCAATAAAATCAAAGCGAAAGGAAAAAATTAAAGAATACCTAAAAACAAGAACGCCAAGAAATAAAATGATGAAATAAGTAAAATTCAGTGGTTGTACTTCTACCACAAAGATGGAATTGTTATGTTCATGCAGTCGAATTTTACAGAAGAGTGTTATCTTTGTGCACAGTGATAATTTAATAACAAATGATCTTGAAAAATTTACATAAATGACGTACATTAACACCGAAATTTAACATCGTTACATAATGTATTTTTCATCGTAAATTTAATTCAAATATGTACTCGATACTCTTCAATATCTTGAAGTCTACAAAATAGACAAACATACTTGATTTATAACAAAGAAAGAAACATGAAGAAGGCCGAGGGGCAGAAAATGATAAAAACATATTGTACATCCGAATCTAATGCAAAATATAGAATTCTAACTTACTGATAGTTGACAACACTGTCTGTAATCCACTCCACATTGACAGGGAATGTTTTATATTTCACACATAATTCTGATGGTAAACGGAAAAAGAAATGAGATAAATCTAAGACAAAAATGCATCGAAGAACGAGAAGCAATATCAACAATTTTACAAACATAAATACTGAGAGAATACTTGTAGAGTACAATACCTTTAACTTGAGAGACAGCCTCCTCAGATGGAGAAGCATCGCATATGACAACGGTCTCGGATATCTTAATAAATTGACATAAAGAGATAGAGAACAAACAATAAAATCACGAAAATTGATTCGAAATTATGTTTCATTATGTTACACCAAAATGATTAAATGTTCAGAGGCGAACATCATTTTTGTAAAATGCCGGCCAAGAAACTGATATAGGGCAGAAATGCGATCCAACTGAAATTATGGGTTTTCCTAAAACTCCACAAAAGTCATTCTAACAAAAAACAACGTAAAAGCTGCCATATAAATAAAGGAGAGATGCAAACATATCAAAACATCATTTGTTAAATGAGTAAAACGTTTTTGTTGTTTTCAGCCATAAAACAATATCATCTCGTCTCCAACTTAGTTTTCATTTTGCTCATGAAAGATAAAAAGTGACATAGAAAGATAATAATAATAATAATAATAATAATAATAATAATAATAATAATAATAATAATAATAATAATAATAATAAATCATACTGAGAAAAATAAAAAAATTTTAAAACATAAAACACTCACGAATGGCAATGATATACTAAGTGTATTGCCGTCCACAGCTTCACCTCCGCTGTATCGAACTAACTGGCAAACTTGAGCTGAAAAAAAATTTAATAGCCTTTAATTCGATTCTTTTCCATTCAATTTATCTTAGATATAATAGTCAGAAAAAACTCAAGAAACGAAAGGAAAATGAAGGCATAATAAAAACTAGGAATTCAAGGATACTGTAAAGTTTCAAAAAATCACTGTCTTTTTCACTTATGATGACAAACGACCTTTAACATTTTATTTACATTTACTAAATTTTTTCATGAATTTTGATTTAGTTTTCACTTGTGCATCATGAAATGAGCATCCATTGACTTCATGACAAGTAAGAATATTTAGTGGAACTTTTATCAGCTTTCCTCAACTAATTGAATGCAGTATAATGATTACAGTGGTTTTGTTTTGATTTTCAAAAATTTTCTATTGTGTGCAAGAGTTCTTTTAACGAAATAAACTTTCTTGCTGAAGAATACTAAAAAGTTGTAAACATCTTTTGTCTTTTTGACCAATTTAAGCTAACCTCAAACATGTTTCATACATTTTGATTGGACCTCAAACATGTTTCATACATTTTGATTGACCTCAAACATGTTTCATGCGTTTTGATTGGACCTCAAATAAGTTTCATGCGTTTTGATTGGCCCTCAAACATGTTTCATGCGTTTTGATTGGACCTCAAACATGTTTCATGCGTTTGATTGGACCTCAAACATGTTTCATGCGTTTTGATTGGACCTCAAACATGTTTCATGCGTTTTGATTGGACCTCAAACATGTTTCATGCGTTTTGAAACATTACGTTTTGATATGTTTCTCAATAACTTTCTTATTTACTGTTTTATCATGGTAAACTAGGATTTTTATCTTTCTTTGTCTCATTGAAATGTTAAAATTGAACTCTAATCTAAGTATTTATGCAGTTTGCATTCGCTTTGCAAAATGTCTAAACACAAAAAGTTGCTCTATTGTTAAGCTGCGTTTACTTTACAAAGTATGAAAAAAAAGTAATGTGTAAAAGTATAAGAAAGTGTAAAAAGTATGAACAAAGTGTCTATATGACGGAAGGTTCGGCATTACACACGGAATAAGTAGTTAAATTAATATAGAACCTATTCACCTGTCGTTATAGCTTTCTTGTATTTACCAACACACACAATTGAAATGCCGTCAAACAGAAGTGGATTCTGAAAAATGGTATGATTTTTGTTGGAAAGCGTCCAAATGACAATCGGCATGTAAAATCAATCATACAAAAACTGTATAAAGCTCAAAAACGAAATAAAAAAGAAGGTAAAGAAATTCTTTAATAGAAGTACATGATTCATAGGGGAGGGGAGTGTTCGTTGCCGTATTGTCACCTTGTTTTGGCGAGTTCTCCGAGCCAATTTTGGAACATGTGACTGAGCAGCCTGAGCATCACCTTTCACTTCATATCGTTGCTAGAAATAAAATAATTTCACAACAGTGTCTTCATATAGATACAAACGTAAAGTGTCATGTCTTTCTTACTTCATCAACTAGTCGACAAGATTTGGCACAAGCAATAAGCCCTGAAGAAAAATTAATACAGAGTAATCTTTAGTAAGACCCATTTAAATATTGATAAATAGTGGAAACTTACAATGGTGACTGACAATCCATCGACCAAGTGAAACTCCTAACAAATATTTGATACTGTAATCATTACGAGAGGCTTTCATCTGTGAATCTAAATGAAAATTTCGAGCATAAGAGAATTTAATCATGGTGCATAAATATTGTTATTTTGAAAAAAACTTGAATCGCCATTAGATTTGCAGCATGTGGTCTGCGATCTCGAAGATTTAACCCCACGACCGTAACAGCAATTTGAAAATCATCACTTATCCTCCATTTTAAACATCGTAATAAAATTTCTTTACTAAAATTTTGTCAATAATTTACAAGATAATCCTACCAGTGGGCATAACAATATGTGTTGTTTCTTCAGTAACATCATCCATCAACTTGACGCCACATTTCGTAACCAATTTTCTAACAAGAGCCTAAATTCGACGAGACAAAACTACTGAACAATTTTGAATGACAAAAGAACGATAAAAATTAACAACTTACAACATATTCCTTAGAAAGTCTAGTCAAAACAAGACGGTAAGATGAAGTGTTATCGTTAGGAGTACTTTCATTAACTTGTACAAAAGTTGACGACAACATCTGTTTTTTAGAAAGTGCAATTTTTGATATCCATCCATTAGACAAACGTTTATCAACACTTCTGTTTGTTTGATCACTTTTCTGAGAAAGTTTCCTTGTTTCCTTCGTCTGATCAAAATCATTCTCAATTTGTTTCCCGACTGATCCATCAACACTGCTATCAATGTGTCTTAAAGAAAGTATACTTCGTTGCTTATCTTTTCTTTTCGTAGATCCGATGTCACATTTAGACATAGATTGGTCAAGTAATTCATCTTGTGTTTCCACTTTATCAAAAGACGTAGGCATACATTGTTTTTTTATATCATCTGAGCTCTTAGATGAACTATCGATGACCTTATGGCAAATAGTACCATTTATCCCGTGTATACCGGTATTGTTAACCAACAAGCTGGTTGTACTAACACCACGTGTTAAAGCTGGCTTATGGGACAAACCGCGTTGAGATGGTAAATGGGATTTCAAGACATGACTCCATTGCGATGTTTCATCATCTATAGAAATCGATTCATCGAACTTGTGCTTTATGACTTGAGTATTTAGGATATTAGGTGTAGGTCCCATCAAATACGAGTCTTCGATACAATAATCTTTTAAAACCCTGTCACGTACTTCACTAAATATTTCACTAAAGTTGGAACGAACACAAACCGATTTATCTCGTTTGGGTTTCTCATATTCATCATTAACATCCATTTCAAGCATTTTCTTCAAGTTTTTTACAGAAGGAGGAAGCCTTGTTAATTTCAATCTAGATGAATCTATTGCAGGAGGAGGAGAAATCGGGCAACTTGCGTGGATAGCGTCTAGAAAAAGTTAACAAAATTAATAACATATACCTTACAATGATAAAAGTGATCGAACGGAAAACGTGATTAAAACATCATATTGTCACATTGAAACATTGAAAGACTTGAAGAAGAAGCTTTTCGAAAAATTCGATAACTATTTTGGCAAAGTACATAGCTACGTAGCAATCAATGTGCCAGATCATCAATAATTTTTTAGCACCAAAAAAATATTGAGTTATCTACGTAAGAAACGAACAAAACATTAAGAAAAGATAATTATACCATTTTCATCTTGGGCAATTTCAGTTTCGCCTCCATCAACACATTCACCTTTTTTACCCAATATTTTCTTTTTCTTTTCTAGCTCATCATCATTATCAATGAAGATTCTTTTCTCGTTCTTGGCTCCACATGAAATGCTGTTAGAATACTTAGAAACTGCTTGGTTGTTGCTGGAAAGTTTGTGGTTACTTTCAAACTCTTTATCATTAAGATTCAGCATGCTTGTTTCCCCAACACGCGATTTACTCAACTTCAAGATTTTCTTTTTGCTTTTTTTACAAGAAATACCGCCCATAATAGAGTGATCACTTTTATTTTTGCCACATCGTGTCACAACACGACGTCGATCAAGATGAAGATAAGAGTTTTGTGATCGTCTATTTCTGATTTCTTCTTCTTCATCACTCTCTTCAGTGCTGACGACCGGAGGAAAGTTGTTTTCATTCCTTTCAAAATATTCATCAATATGACTTTCATTCCACCGAGTTTGTTCAATGCCACTTGTGATGTTCTTTTCACATTTATCATTATTTTCTTCATCAATTTCATGAGAATAAAGACAACTTTTATTAACATTGTAGTTAATAATGGGATTATCCTTTTCTATGAACATACCTTTATCATTATTGTAATCAATGATTGGTTCGCTCTTCTTCGTCTCGACATCTTCATTAATATCAATGATTGGATTTGTTTTTTTCATATCTAAATCATCATCAGTTTTATAATCAATGATAAACTTTTCTGTCGTCTCATCCTTGGCAATGCGACGAGTCAATTGCTCAGTCATTTCAAAATCCACTTCTTCATCGCCATTACAATCAATAATTGGTTTAGGATCTTCTGTTTTTCTAACCTCATTATCCATGCAATTGACGACCGACTTTCTATTGTTCTTGCAATCAATGTTCGATTTAGTCTTTTCCACCATCTCATTTTCATTGATGTTTTTAACAAGAAATGACTGTATCTTTCCCTTCTCCATATCTACCTTCATATTGTTATCAATCACTGATTTTGATTTTTCTACATACATGCCTTTATCGGTTTCCAAGTATGATATAACATTGTTTTCAAATTCCTTTACACACACCAGTTCATCGTCAAAATGAAGATCGTCAATCTCGTCATCATCGCGAAAACCAGATTGTTTATTATTTCCCACGTCATAATCCATAAACGTATCTTGTTCGATATCTGTAAAATTCTTGTTATGGATTGAATTTTTATTCTCCCTATTCTCTTTTAACTTTCTAAGGTCAGTCGTCAACTTTGCAATTTCTCCTCCAGTTTTCGCAAGTACATCATACAGATATTTGATCCTCTGTACAGTAGAAATAAATATAAAACCAAGATAATTACGTGCAAATCACAATAATGAAACTAACGTCGTGTGAAATACACCCAAAAACATTAACGGACCAAAGGTATACAAAATTTGATTGTGAGCCTTATCCTTGTACACACTGATGACTGAATAGACTATCTAATTGTGAACTAGGTTTTACGTGAGTAAACTAATATATCACCTGCGATGATACTTCAATACCATCGCCATCAGTTAACGATGAAACACTCGTGGTATCAGCATCTTTAGCTGCAAAATATGGGAAATAATTTGTTAAACCAGAAAGTACACAATACACAATAAAAATTGACAACCTGGAAATAATCAAGAACAAATCAACTCACAATCACTCATTTCACCATCACTTTCAGTTTCACTTTGTTTATGATCGACAAATCCTAAACAACGCGTATTGGCATAAAAGTTTCAATATGGTTCTCTAACATAGACTCCAAAAACAAAATAACATTAAAAAAATAAACATTTTTGTAATCTTTGTAATCTACTTATGATGATTAACCATTATGATAAAACCAACCCAGTTTTCGAAGTATGACAGCATTTGAATCTTCTTGAGAGGAATACATTTCATCATCGTCGTTTATAGAGCTTCTGCCATTATCTAATTTCTTCGTGTCTCTTCCACCATCAAATTCATCATTATCAGGTTTGAAGCATTTAGTCAATCCATTTTCTTTCATTCTTTCATACTGACTTTTGATATAACTTCTATCATTATAAACATTAAGATTATCTTGACTCTCTTCACTTGAAAAAAACCTCGTCTTCACATGCTCTTGGTTTGAATCCTCATTAACAAATAATTCATTGACCTCATCCATTACCACCTCCCAATAATCTACTGTATCATTGGCTCCCATGTCAATGGATAATCTACGCTGATTATAATCTAAACTACATCGCTTCATGTCGATAGCTGATTTTTTGAAGGCTTGTTTTTGACTGCCTTCAGGGATATCCCTTTTATTGTTGTCCTCTAAACATTCATCATAGTCCTCTGAGCATTCATCATTGTCATCCAGACATTCATCATTTTCATCCCAGCATTTACCATTTTCCATCAGGCGTTCATCGTTATCCTCCAAACATTCATCGTTGTCTTCCAAACATTTATCGTTGTCCTCCAAACATTCATCGTTGTCCTCCAAACATTTATCATTGTCTTCCAAGCATTTATCATTGTCCTCCAAGCATTCATCGTTGTCCTCTAAGCATCCATTGTTGTCCTCCAAGCACACATCATTGTCTTCCAAACATTCATCGTTGTTCTCCCAGCATTCATCGTTTTCCTCCATGTATTCATTATTATTCTCCCTGCATTCATCATTATCCTCCAAGCTTCTATGGTTTCCTTCCAAGCACTCATAGTTATCCACCAAGCATTCATTTTTGTCTTCTAAGCATTCACCGTTATATTTCAAGCCTTCATGGTTATTATCGAATCTTAAAACATTGCCACTTGGTAAAGGTGTCAAACATGTTAAATCATTGTGCTGGTTGCTTTGAACAAATTTTCCGCCAAGTTTTTTTATCTTTGGACTTTTATCTAGTTTTCTTATTTTCAACATTCTTCTATGACGTTTCGATCTCTGATCGCACTCACTTGCACTTCTTTTAAGACCGAAACTCTTATTGAGTGTATTTTGATTGGAAAATTTATTGCGAGAAACACTTTTCGTTGAAGGAGGCGTTGGTGGTATTACATCACTTTCACTGTCAGTAAAACAAGTAGCTTCTTGCTGCTGTCTAATTACAGCGATGTCCCTATTTTGGTTTCCTGATTTATCTATTATTTTATCAGAAAGTAAGCTTGCAGATATATTTTCTAAGTGTTTGACTTCAACTTCACCCCTTGTCATATCAAACATTTTCATGTTCTCAAACATTCGTGGGCATTTGTTTGTCATGCCTGAATTTTCTTTATGATGCTTTTCCTTCAATTTATCGATAGGGGAATCGTCAAAAGAGTGCACATGAGATACAACTGAATCTTTACAATGGAACTTTTTTGTACCAACATTGACCTCTTTTGTAGTCATCGATAGGTAATTATGTTCACCTGATACAAGTCCAACAGACGAGACAGCTGATGTTTTCGTGTTGCTTGATTCTATTTCAAAACTTAAATGGTTGTGTATGTTTTCAGAATTCTTGAATTTTTTACAATGGGAATTTTGGACAGCGTGATTGATGCTTCTTCTCTTTCGTTGACGCCTACGTCATTGTCATAGAAATGATTGTTGTTTATTGAATGTTGAAAATTCAAACGATTGTTCTCACGAGACGGGCTGCTTCCTATCTTCTGTCGTTCTTGAAAACTACTAGCAGAAGACTCGTGGTGGACTTGGAGAAGATTACTTGAATTAGGTATGGCTTGGGTACTTTGATCAAAACATAGTTGATGTGATTCAGCCAAACTCTGTTTTAAATTTCCAGAATTTATATTTTCGTCATTTCCCTTTTCACTTTCCAATGGAATACCCATGACTTTAGGAAATTCCGGAGATATTATCTCATCATGAGAATCGTAACGGTTATGACAAGGCAGTGGTATTACCCTGTATGTTTCAGTATCAGATTCAACACTAGCTGGAATGCGCTCACTGACGTTGGAAAGTCCATTGTTTAAATTCAATTCATCAGCGTTTACTGATGCAGAATTAAGCAACGGTGGTGTCACTTTGAAAGCAACTCCGGTTTCGTAACAATCTATAATTGCGTTTTCTTGATCAACAGTTTCAATAGTTTCAGCGTTCGCTTCTAAACTATTTGATACTCTTTTCTCAGAAAGTTGATAATTTTCTTCACGTTTGATTTCCTCACCTTTGCTGACTTCAATCTGTGTTGTAGACAATTCATTTTTTTCTACATTAAAACACAAATTGTTTTTCTCTTTAATATTCTCAGAATAACTACTCTCCGCTTTCTTCGAAATTTTCTCATAAGAACACGTGTTAGTTTCTTTTTGCAAAGAATTTTGGCCTTTCGTATGATTTGCAATCGAACTATGATCAACATCTTGATCAGATAATTCAATAGTTGATTCTTGGAGAAACAAGTTATCCAGCAAGGATACACTATTTTCACTTAACGTGCTATGTTGTGACACATTTTCTTCATCAACAGTAATCGAACCAGAACTGTTATCACCAGATTTATTCACGTTCAGTTGAGAAGAGGTTGCATTGCATCGTTGAGTAGTTTGTCTAAAATGTCAGAATTACATAAGTAGTTTCTAAAACAATTATAAATAGCAGGATTTTTATATTATGTTTTTCTTCGAACTGAGACATTTGTAGTTAAAACATTCAAAAAAATTCTAACTGTACGATATTTCTTGAGCTTGTGTTTGGGTTAGTTTTACTTTCTCATTGACTTACTTGTCATTTTTCTGTGATAGACATTTGTTGCTTTCTGTTTCTTTACCTATACAAAGAGCACATAATAAATATTAAACCTCAGTTACGGACTCCCCCAAACAAAGAAACTGAATGAATCGTAAAATTTTTGATGGTGTTTATGCTTTCTCAACAAAAATTGGACAAATCTACGACATACTTTGCAATAGTTTGTGAGTTTTTATAACTAAATGTATTTAATCAATGTTGCTACTAAATTATATGTAGAAAACAAGTTTAACAAATACCATCGCATTTTGTTAAAGATCTTAAAGCTTCTTCCTCACAATCTAACAAAGACAGGATTTCTGAAAAAGTTTGTTTACAAGGTATTCTTTGTGGAGAAGATGTTTTGTTTTCCTTTAGATGATTTGTTGAACTTAGGCTGGTGTTGATTACACTAAAAATGATATCATACTATTGAAACAAGAATTATACAAAAAATTAAAATCCAAAAACTAAAAGAAAGATGAGGGATAGACTTAAAATGGCTTTTTAAGGGAGTGCTCTACATTGAATTACATATTAGTGAAGACTTTTCATCAAAGTCTGTAATCTTTTTAGTATGATTAGGAGTTTTTTTGAAGTATGTTTGATTAAACACTATTCACAATTTGTTAAACTAAGTTATTCAATGTAACACCTTGCATCCATCCCATGTACACCCCTCCCATGCATACCCCGGATGCCCCTCCTCTCATGTACACTCTTCCTATGTACACCACTTGCATGCACACCCCTCCCATGCACACCACTTGCATGCATACCCCTCCCATTCACATCATTTGCATGCACCCACCACTTGCATGCACACCCTCCCATGCACACCATTTGCATGCACATCCCCCATGCACACCACTTGCATGCACACCCTCCCATGCACACCACTTGCATGCACACCCCTCCCATTCACACCACTTGCATGCACATCCCCCCATGCACACCAATGCATGCACACCCCTCCCATTCACACCACTTGCATGCACATCCCCCCATGCACACCACTTGCATGCACACCCCTCCCATGCACACCACTCCCCTAAATCCATCACTGCAAAAGGCAATCAAATGCTGTGTTCATTTACAACAGCAGTTTAAAAGATTTAAAAGAAAAAATGGACCATCAACTAAGACTTTTGGTTCATCCTCTGTAGTTCTTATTTCTCTTGACCAGAAGAAAAAGAGCGGGCAGTATTTTGCTGGTCAAATTAGTATTTTGAAACCCCTGGACAATACTTAAAAGTTATTATACATGCAAAGAAGGGCCCAAATTTGTTGTGAAACATTGAAGGTATACCACGGGAAGATAAAAAATTGAATTGGTACATGTGTAGTTATTCTGGCTAAAAAGAAAATCACAATGCAAGGATATCCACATGTTTAGCAACAAGCAAACTAGCTATTTTACTTCATATGTATTATACAACTTTTTGCTGAAAAGCATAGCTCTGCATGTTTGATAGAGAAATTTGTGAACATTTTGCCACAGTCCAAATAAGTTGGTTGTCAATGTTTCTCAATTTGTAAAAACACAAAAGTTGTTGTTGGTCTCAAATACTCTACCAGTACGTATTAGATCATCTTTTATGAGCCTATAATCATCATAGTAATTATTGTGAGCATACCTACTGCATCTTTGCTTATTTCCATCTTCTGACTTGCAATGCTAAATGACAAATACAGTTGGGTTACTTGGAACAATCTTTGTAAATTCATCACCAGGTTATGTGGAATAACAAAGTTGGTGATGCAAGCCAATAAATATAAGTATGCACAAACTTACGTTAACAGATTTTATAGGAGTTTGACTTGAATCGTAATGTAAATTATTTACAGCAGGTTTGATGATCGGATAAGGTGAATCTTAATTAATAAAAACATAAATTGAGTCTCATTACAATTTTAATACATACATCCAAGAGTTCTTGATATTGTCACTCCAACGTATGTTGCTACAAGCATACATAGACATACCTGGTAAACCAGCATCCTCGCAGAATGCAGAGTTTAACTTGTGTATAACATGAACTATTTCTTTTAATTTTGGATTGGGAGTCAAACCCCTTAAATACAATGTTGAAGCAAATGAGCATTTGATTTTATTCAGATGGTAAATTACTTACAAGAATCAACATATGCGACAGAACAAAACTTCAAACCTTTTGGTGATGGGATTTTTACAAAGTGGACAGTAAATGAGATGTGTTTTGCCTTTTTTTTCATCGATAAATTTCTTAATACAGAAACTAAAATGAGTTGAAGCACGAATTTTAGTAGAGTATTGTGACTACAAGTCAGGCTTGACAAAATTGTAGATTGCAAAACAAACGAGCATTCAAATTATATTATGCAATAAGATATGTTTTGGTACCTGCAAAATTGATGATTGCAGCTGGTTGAAACAGGTTCAATAAATAAATCAAGACTAAGAAAATGTATAGCACATAAATATTCATATAAAAATATCTTGTTTCATGGGGGATTTCCTTTTATACAGCCAGTACATTCATGAAAAACAAAATACTCTTTAGTCCTCACCATATAGAGCATTGTAAACTTTTCTTTATATGTCCAATAGTTTCAAAAACAGTTCTTATGTTAGTTTCCATAATTCATAATTTCCATTGTTCGTATCATAAAATAGCCCAATATAACCAGTGAATTAAAAGAACTCAAACAAGATAACACTCTTTAGTGACTGTTGGCCTGCTTTTGTCATAAAATTGCTTGGCGGTTGATTTTTATTTTAGAATTGAATTCGCGCCAAGCTGGCTGTAACTAGAGCCTGCAATGAATGATCAGCGGCAGACCTGAAGAACACTGCTGAAGAACGAGAGCGAGGAAGCAGTTTAATTAGAGCAGAAATTTAGGTAACTTAGGGATGGGTCGTATTGTTGTTTTTAGACTAGGTATTTGAAAAAGTAAGCAATAATTTTATAAGTACAGAAGAAAATCGATAACAAGTTGTAGGACGTATTTTCTCCAAATTTATTGTCCTAAATCATTACTCTCTTTATGTAATCACGTTAAAATCAAAGTTTGTGTCGAATATATTTTATTCTTAATCTCGATTTGTCGAAGTTGAAAATAAAAAGGGGAAACATGTAAAAACACAAGTGGAAAAGGCAATTCGCCAATTTAGAATCTGGACAAAACTTTTGAAAATATTATAAGAACGTCCATTGAGATTTGCCTTTTGACGCAGTTGGGACTAACACTTTTAGTGGCATGCCAATTCTAAAGATCCGCTTTGCTTGATTTAATTATCACAACTCCAATTTTTCTTTAATTTGAAATTTAATTATCATTAGGAAATGAAGACAGAGATACATACTTAAAAACCAGGTTAAGCACGAAGTGAAGGCATTCAGAGGTATCAAATACATATGGATACACAAACGTTGATGTAACTGGAAAGAAGCAAGAACTCAGAGTGAGATAGAATTGAAAAGGAAGTAGTCATATTTTCAGACAGTGAACATGACGGTGTGTGTGAATCCTCAGCTTGATGATTGAGAGAGATGAAAATTAAGAGCACTAGGTGTGTTCAGTGACTAAATGTGCACTTGTTCAATTTCATATTTCTTTTAAAAATGAACTATCTGCAAAACTTACCATGTAACATGTCATAAAATTTTTGCAATTTAAGAATGAAAATGGTGGGCAAAAATTCACTTGGCCTGTCACACAAAAATTATAATGACAGGTCAGTCGAGTGACGTCAAGGTAAATAAAGCGTTTGATCAATGAATGAAGACATTCAAAAATATAATGTACAAAAATTTACACTATCAAACATTCTGTAAAATTATCTTTTCTTGGAAGTCCTACATTCATCACTTTTTTTTACTGAATGATAATCACTGTTCCTTTCATCAATTTCCTTATAATTTCTTCTATCTTTCTGGGAATACTTCCTTGGCAATGAATGTTTGTCTTCCATATTAATTCTTTCGTCGGAAGAAAGTCTTTTCCTTTTCTTTCTTTTTAGTTTCGCGTCTGTGTCATTTTCATCTTCAGATACAGAACGTTTTCGTTTTTTCTTTTTCTTGTGTTTTTTCTTTTCGTGTTCTTTGTTTTCGAGCTTATCGAGTTTCCTGTGAAAAAATTAAAGTTTCACTAAACTTCAAGAAAGTTCACGTGCATGCCAAACTTTATACAGGAGTTATTCAGAAGCAATAATTTAGTAATTTTCTGCACTTTTTTAGCATTTGAAATCTTTGGTAATTTTTTTGGTAAATTTTATAAAATTAATGATGTTTTAGTAATCAAATAAAAAAATCACTTCGTGCCATATTGACACAAACAACTGCGATCCAAGAACTCAATCACTAAAAACAATTGACGACTTGTCTGTAGTTATATTATTTAAGGAATACACGAATTTGACCGAACACAAGTCAAACTAATTAATAAAAATTTAGTTATTATATGGAAGATGCTGAGCACTCAATCATTGGTCCAACCTCAATAATTTACGTTTTTGCTTTTCATTCAACGTAGACAGAAAAGCCAACTCAGCATCATCATCTTCATCATCATCATCTGATGCTAAAATTTGCTGTGAAGAAATTATACAAAAATCATGTATGTTTCATGTATAATACATATTTGGCGCCCACTTAATATTTGATAATATAGTGCAAATGCGCGTTCATATTTCATTTTGGATACACACTTATCCTAAACTACACTTGTTACGGGACATATAGGGACATATAATGATATATATGTATAAGTACAATGATGATCACCTGGTTGGGATCGTCTCTATTTAAAACACGACCAAGTGCATTTTGCTTTAACGCAAATCCATCATTTCTCATATCCTGCATTAACTTGACTGGATCACTGATACCACTATCTTCAAAGAAAAAAATGATTGCATAAATAAAAATAAAAAACGACACACAATTTTGTATTATTCAAATGTTTCTTCATAAAACGAAATGTTTCTTCATAAAACGAAAACGTGCATACGTTTGTAAGTTCCGTTCAGTTGATGTACACAAAATTTGGTTAAAAATAAAAATGATGAGTTAATAAATTATTGACGATACGCAGCAACTACAGTGTGGCATAAAAAACAAAGGGTTTAAAAATCATAGGTTGGATTGGAGTACAATAGTTGATTAAATAAGTGTATAAAAAACCTGTCAAACTAGATGGCTCTGTGCTGATAGATTTGTTGTAGAGAGGACACTGTACAAAAGAGCATGAACATGTGACATAATAAAGTTAACATTGAAATTATAAACATAGTCATCAATCAAACAAAGATTGGCAAACAAAACTACGTATTTTTACCTCTCTATCGGTATTGATGTGACCCCACTTATGACATTTTATACAACGAACATTTCGCACCTAAACACGGGGGTGTAAGGTACGTAAGTAGTACGTAAAGATAATAAACAACTCAAGCATTAAACAGTTCAATCAACTTTTTATGTTTCATACTGGAATTCCAAATGGCTGAGCATGAGTTTCAAGATTAAGATCTTTGGTATATCTACATGAAGACAAACAAGAACACAGAATAAAACACATAGACAAACTTATTCATTGGAGGATTGATCCTATGATGTCAACCTTACCCTTCTTTTGGTGCTCCTTTTAACCATTCAAACTTTACTTCTTCTTCCTTTTTTGAGTTGTCTTCACCATCCTATAATTGATGAACAGAATTTCAAAGTGTTTCATGCATTCAGTAATTGAGATGATGTACATAAGTAAGGCAGTGTTAAAACATGTGATCAATTTACCTTGTTTTTATCTGTATGGAAAATATCATTTGGACTCAAACATCAGAATAAAAACAAATGAAAAAAGGTAAGAAGAAAAATAGATAACGCTTGTATAGACTTTTAATTTATTCAGGTGGAAACAAAAAGCAATAACAGTGAAGAACAAGTGCACTGGCATTTGTATTCTCTTTCAAAAATAATTATAAATTAAAAACAATAAAATGCATGCAGTGATTGGTCTAGAGCTGTGTTTGCATTAGCCTGTGCAAAACACATCTGAGCTCAACCAATCAAAATTTTGAGAACTCTCGAGCATGTGCAACTCTCAACCTTCGGTCTTGGGCTTGCACTGATCTGCTCTCAAGTGCTCTCAAAGGTCCCTCGGTTTGCATAAGCCTGTGCAAACACAGTAAACATCTTTTAATTCTTACATATAAATTTACAAGATATAGCAAATTTTCATCACAAATCTGATTAGCTTCAAGGCATGGCAACAAATTGATGCTCCTTTTGATAATGGTTATGTTTTGTCATTGTACTATATCATACAACATTGTACAACAACAAATACATGGCCTCAAAAGATATTTTTCAACATTAATTTGACAATCCAAAATGAAAACTTACTGTATCAAAATGTTTACAAATTGAAAAATATTAATTTAAAATTAAACAATTAATTTTGAGCTTAAGACCTTTAAATCCAGGTGGTGCATCATAAACAAAGCTAAGTCCAAGTTTTAGCTTTTCATCTTTGCTTACAAGTTGCCTTTAAAAAGGTACAGATACAAGTGCATGATTAGCAAACATACATATCTATTATCCAAGCAATTGCATGAAAAATGTATTAGTTAACAATGCATATTCCAGGTTGCATATATATGTTGGGCTGTCATACTGAAAATTAAAATTTACTTTCCACCTAAAAATTTCTAGCCACAAGATTTTTTTACATTTGATTTTGAAGTTTAATAGATTGCTTCACTTATGAAAAAATAATATCATACTCATGCTAAGATGGGAATTTCTTTGATAAATTGCAAGTGTAAATCCTCTATCACCTGCAATCTGAACAGAAAAGCATAAGAAAACAAAACAAACAAAACCTGTTTTCAAACTTTTCTTGCTCTTTCTTATATTGCTCAGCAAGTTCAGCCTCTTTATGTGCTTCAGCAGCCTTTTTCTGCTCTGCCATCCATACCTGTAAAAAAATTTTTAACAGCTTGAAAAATCAAAAACTGTAACAAATACCTTGCAACAAATGTTTAACATTTTGACGTTGTTCACAAAAAGCAAGCGTGATAAACTTGTGTATTAGAAACTGTTCATTTTTTTTATACATTTTATCTTAAAAACATTCTAACTAGAACAAAATTAGAGTCATCAGCATATCTACAAGATGCTGACTTGAGATAATTAGTGATGACATACTGACAGTAATGTTGCAAACTGCAACCATTAGCTGTAAAATAATTTATCTTCCAATTATCAATAGTTCTTTGATGGTATTGTATTAAATCGCTCACGTGTAACAGAGATTTATTATATTTGACTATTTGTTAGCATTTGATGTTCTTCTAAGAACCTATTGATCGGATCATAGTTTTACAATGATGATCATCAGATATTCTTAATCGCTACGTACGTAATTTGCACTTCACAAAATATGATTTCCACATAGTTTTATTGTGTAAGCCAAGGATCTCGTTGAAAAACTTCATACTTTCCAGACTGTGGTCTTTGCAAGTATGCTGTGTCGTACCGTATTCTGATTTTCTGACTAAGAGAACGTAATTTATATAATGACCAACCCTTTTTATATTCCACTTTGATCCAGGATGGAAATCCTTTTTGTTCATAAACTTTTGAAACATGATGATAAATGCGACAACAAACAACGTAAAAAAGATGTAGAAATTTAACAATTTTTAGTTTAAAAAATTCAAAAGATGCAATCAAGCAATTATCATGTTTAAAAATTTTACTACTTCATGTTATATTTGTGTAAATTAGCTAAAATGATCGCCACACAAATGTTGGACCTAGACATTTTCGTTGCGCTCATACCATTCGGCCTAGTGTTGATTTGCATATTATGGAGTGGGTTCCCTAAAGGTTCTGAGAAACTCATTGCTACATGGGCATTAATTGATGGCTGTGTCATCCATATTTGGATTGAAGGGTATGTATTTATGTGTAAAAGGGAATGGAAATGGCATGCTTAATGTCAATTTGAGGTACTATTTTCCAGAAATGAAAATAACATCAGGCTTACTTGCACTTTGAATTATTTTTGCTCATGTTTACAGTCACTTGATCAAAATTTGGAGAAAATTTCACTGGACAGTAGAATTGTGCACTCCCAAAATTAGTGGTAACTTTCACTTACAGGGTTGTGTGCCTAACACGTCGAGGTCCACAATCGATGGTGAAAAAATTTGATGACTTTGATACAAGATATAGAGATTATGAACCCAACGCAATGGCCATGGTTTGGTTGGAACTATTATTTCAAGGTCCTGGATGTGTAATATGGTATGTTTAAACAACAATCAACATACACTTTGTTGATCTTTAATCGAATTTTTCCTTGTCTGATTTATTGTCATTTTTCACATTATGTTTCATTGAGAGCTAGACAGTATTGACAATATCATATCAGTTTGATGAATCCACTCAAGCTCATGTAAAAATTTTACGACACATACTATTAATTGCACAAAATTTGTTTTGGCCATTGTGTAATTTAGTTTTAGGAAGAATCAATTGCTATGTACTTTACATATTATATGGCAGTCAGCAGCTGGGGCAGTATTATTCTGCATTATAACAAGATCAAATGACGATGACTCTGATGACTTTGGACGAACGCGAGTTTATGTGATCTGATTATAGTTTATTATAGTTTAAGAAAGCGGACGAGAGTCCTAATTTACGAAGCATAACAATACTTGCTGATATTTTACTACACGTGATAGGATTTTGGTATTGCTTACCAGGGCTAGTTAGAGTTGATGGGAGGCAGAATTGTAAGATGTCACAGTCAAATATAAACGAATGTTGCATCTCGCATCAACTTTATTCCACATTTGACTCAGCTTTAAACAGTATATGAAATGAAAATTGTGCAGTTTAGATTATATTTTCATTGGACATAACTTTCAAAACTACCGTTCACATTCTAAAACAGTTTATTCAAATCACTTTTCACTCTCAGAATATTGAAGATTTTGTAAAGTCCGGCGTCCGCTTTACAACAAAACTTGTGACGTTACATTGTACAACAAGAATTTGAATAATCAAGTGTATTTGGTGATATGTTTCCTCAACAGAGCAGAACTCCTTCATTTTGAAGAGCCAATGGTATAAATGAAGGTTGTGTAAAGCGGACAATACAAAAACTTCAATAACTTAAGATGAAAAGTGATAGGAACTGTTTTTGAAAAGTACACTGTCATTTTGAGACTTACAGTAGTTCAATGAAAATATACGTAATCTAAACAGCACAATTTTTGCTTCATATGTCTTTCAAGCGAACTGATAAATACGACCAGTTAGCTTTTCGTTCTTTCAATCAAGTGTACAATACGCTGAATCTTTTCCTTCGTTTTATTGCCTTTACATTTTATAGGTACCATTCGATAGTAAAAAATCGCTGGTACAGACCATTTGTTGGAATCATCGTGTGTTCATCGTTTGTGTATGGTACAAGCGTTTTTGTTATCGCTGAGGTTATGGATGGCTGCAAGCACATTGTTATGGTAAGCAAGTTGACTGATAGAAAATTGCCGCTATATTATAAAGTACTTGCATATGAGAAATTTTGGTATAAAATGGTTGAGTTGGATGTATTATAAATTTTTCCGACTGCCACGCAGATCGTAATCACAGAGGACTCATGACTATAGATTCTTAAAAATGAAATAGTTTACAAGATTTTTTACTAATTGTATCAGTCTTGTACTGATGTGCTCTTTTCCAGTGTCAGAGTAGAACTTTTTCTTGTACTGTAGTACTGTACGTAGTGTACTTTTTATCGTGTTAAGGTCGGATGTAAGACGTTTTTGTCAATTGAGTTTCATTTTATTTTGTGATGTTTGCTCTTGTGCAACAATGATCAGTAAAGGGTTAATGCATCAATCCAGAGCATGAATTTTCTCTTCTTAGTTCGGTCAAATTTGCGTCGATATATTTTTCATCTTTTACAAAATTAGCAATTCTGCCAAACTAACCCTCTATAGTGGCTACTGTTGCTCAAGGGCAACAATCAAATTGGGGGAAACCTCCCCCTCTTTAAGGATTGAGTATGCTCTTTTCACATGTAATGGTTTTCCACTTTAACCTGAGCTAATGAGGGAATGTTTGCTCAAATTAATAGTATAAATTTAGAAAAAATAATGAACTAAAATTTTAGAAAGCTGAATGAGAGAATGGATATCATTAAAACGATTTCAATCCTCTGTACGTTTACATATCTGGCTAACATAAACAGTAATTTCTGTTGAATTTCCAGGAAAACTGGCCACCGTCTTTTACTTCGTCAAAAGATGTCGTGAATTTCTGGATAATATTCGTGTTTGCAAGCACATTTTACATCGTTTGGCCTAGTATAATCATCATTAAATACGTTATGGAGTTTAGACCCACTAAAGACTTCGAAAATATTGTGAAGAAGAGAAGAGTTGAAAAGATTGAATAGAAGAGTCTTTATACAATAATTAATTTCACCATATTTTTGATAAAAATGTTAATTTTTGAAATCCCATTTTTTCTCAAATTAGGCTACGTCTTTCAATTCAGCTTCTATTCTTTTTTTAGTATCTTCATCTTGACAAAACTCTACTGCTTTCTTGAACTCAGTTTTAGCATAATCCAATTCTCCTGTAAGTGCAATATACGTTCATGAAATCCTTCAGAAGCAGTTTTAATTCAAGGCCTTAATGTCTTGGAAGTAAATTTATTGTTGGTGGACTGTGGACGATTTCATTTATTTCCACACAAAAAGCATGAAACTGAAATTGAAAAAAATTGAAATTTCTAGCTTACCATTCTGTGATAAAACATTAGCCAAATTGTAGTGCAATGACCATAGATCGACATAGTTCACTTTAATAGCAAGATCTATAGCTTCGTTAAGTAATTCCTTTGCGTATTCTACACTTCCTGTTTCGTTATGAGCAACAGCCAGATTATTTAGGGAAAGAGCAACCTAAATAAAGTCAAACGAATAAGACGTTTTTGTACATAACAATGAAATATAAGCAGCCTGCATGGTTAGAAGGGAACACCCGACGTTTTAATCGCTGTGTGCAAGTTTTTTCTACTTAAATTTCATATAAAATCACAATAGTCGTACAAATGCAGGATATAATATGGCTTTGAAAAGTTTCTGAAGTATTTTGAAAGAGAATCAATTTTCAGTATTTTTTAATAAAAATTTACAGTACTCTAACTTTTTAAAACCTGTTCATTATTTGGTCCAAACACTGTCCTTGATAGGTCTAGTGCTTCAGTGAAAACCAAAACAGCCCGAGTAGGATCACCTTCAACCATTTGATATTTGCCGTAACTTTCCAGACAGATGCCAAGAAGTGCAGCACTTTTATAAACATGAATGAACAAACGCATATTTATATAATTTCTCAGCCGTCATATTTTCTGCATTTCCAATACAAGCATCTGTGCACAGTACCTGTTTATATCGAAGTTTTGTGAACGGTGCTTTTTCTGTCGCAAAGTATCAATGCACCAATTAAAACCGTTTTCTGCAAGTTCACGTCTAAAAAAATATTTATTTGCAAAAAAGTTAAACCACTATTAAATAAGCCTACGATTACCTTGTCCAAAATACATACAGCTTTCTTTAATGCAGCAGCATCAGAGATGCCAATCTTTTTATGATATTATGAAGGAAAAAAGTTGTCCATGTTATAATATTATTGAATGAAATACGTTAACCAGCTAGTGGCATAGCCAGGCCGAGTGTTTGAACGTGCTATGTCAATATTTCGGTGTTTCACTTAGTGTAAAAACAATAGATTTCTAAAAACAAACCAAATTAATGCTAATGATCTGAAATTTCCATAGCACAACCAAACTGGCTGGCTACGCCACAGATGTTTATAGCTTAAATTCAAACTGGTAAAGCTCAAACAATTAGTTGGAAAACGAAATCTTCAAATTTAAACTTAACAAAATTTAACAAAAACATCAAAACATGTAAGAAACTGCGGAGGTAGTTGATACGTATAAGGTCGTGAGCTGTATTTACCTTCTCTGTTGAGCATATATGCTAGCTAGTTTCAAAGAAATTTCAACAATGGCATCGTCATCCTAAAAAAACCCAATTTATTCAATACTGCATGGTGGAAATGTATTTGAAAATTGAAACTGTTAGATTTTGAACAAATGCTAACATAGTGCACAGATCAATGAACCTTAGCTGTGCCGTGATGGATCAAGGCTTGAACTGTTTGCTTGTAATAGTCTTCAGCTTCATCTAACTTTCCCGTTTTATTGAAAAGATTCGCTAACTATGAGAAAAAAAAACATTGATAAATACAAGTACAGCATCAAGATGTTAAGTAATAGCTTTAACCTGATCAATAATGTAAACGAACTTGGTCGTCAAAATATTCATTCTGCGTTGAGATTTAACTTCTGATTCAATAAGTGTCTTTACTCTTTGCAATGCTTTCATATAAAGTTGAATGGAATATTCTGTCCGACTTTTATTGCTCTGAGATTCCTATAATGGATACATTGAAAACACGACACGACTAAACGTTGTGGCCAACTTTGACATTTTTTACCATTTTTGAAGCAGTTGGCCATTCAAAAAATAACTCTTTGGAATTTTTATAGGCTTTTTTTAAATAAAAAGACCATAAACTTTAAAAAGCAAAGTTGAATTTACCATAGTTCAGACCAATCTTTGCCTTTTGAATAATCGAAATTACTTCAATGAAGGATCATCTTCGTGTATTTTAAATTTTTTCTATTGTTATTTTGTCGTATAGAATAAAACGTTAATTGGAAATCGCAATAATCTACTCAGCTAGAAGACCTATGAATTAATCACAAACAAAGCTGAAAAATTTTGAAATTCTATTTTGCAATTATTCTAGGGAAATACAGTATTGGATTAACGAAAGTTATGTTGTGATACTTATGTTGAAAACTGACTAGGCAACACTGCACATGGGCATTCATTTATCCATGATTTGTAATGTTACAAAGACATAAAAAAGTTTATTTGTTGGATAAGACCTTTTCCTAAAAGATCAACAACGATTTTTACAGTTTTTGTTAGTGTTCTAAGTTCAACCAAACTCTCTTAAAAGTGAAATTTATAAGTTACAACTTCTAATATAAAAAACTAACTCAGGCATACTTGAGCAAAGTGAATGAGTTCATCCAATTCTTTCATTTCGTGGTCAAGATATGTATTTTCAAGTTTCTTACTCCAACTGTAGAGAAAACCACCACCAATGCCTTGATTTATAAAAATTAACACAAATGACATATCTCAATTCAGTCAATAATCCTTGACAAGGTGACAATTTCATTTCATAATCCGAAAAAAGCCATCTAGTAAACTTAGATTCAAATTATCAAAACATGACAATTAGAAGTGTAATATGTCAGTTTTATATGCTTTATTTTATATTCAATACAGTCAGCTGTCTCAATTAAGTCTGAACTGAGACAGCTGACTGTATTGAGATATTGTTTAGTCACAAATTATTGAAGAAAGTTTCTGAGCATACACAGTCGTCTTCACCAACAGGCTTAGTTCATGGTCATGGCAACAAATCTAGTATTGATTTGGGAGTATTTAGCTCGCTTATTTGCAATTCATCATTGAAATTATCTACACTTGCTCAGCATACTCATGCATTGGTTCACCTTGCTTTTTAATGCAATTACATATCGATCTTGATTAATATTTTTTTTATTCAAATAAATCCTTAACACATTCTCAATTTTTTGCTTTCATATCTTGAGTGCAACTTGGTGAGGAGTGAGCTGCAAGGCTCTGTGAATTTAGTTTGTCCACAATCTAATCCAAGTTTGGAGACATGCTGTAAAGTGGCTCATGACAAGTAAAATTATACCACTTTTTCTTTCTTTCTTTCACACTTGACTTTCTCAAGAAATATTGTTTTTTTGCTCTTTGAAGCAATAAAAAAATTAGCACCCGGCTGCCAGTGCAATGCAAAATAGCTTGCACAGCTAATAGAATGTTCCTCTGTTAATGCCATGTGTTACTTTCTAAGTTTCAAATGCTTCATCTTCAAACTCATTTCCAAAAATTCAAATAGGGAGGCACTTAGGGGGGGGACAACAAATTTTTAGGGGGAGAACATGCCACCCTTAGGAATGCCACTGTTTTCAGATTGAGCATTAATGGTAATAGTCAGTTGAGCCAATGACTAAAAACAGTAACAAGTTGATTTGACATTTTCATGGTGTCAAAATGTTAAGTAAACAACATTCTCAATGAAATACAATCAAGTTATTTGCTTATAAAGGTTATTGCAGATGAAAAATCATCATAAGTAAAATATTTTAACAAGACAAACTAAACAGCAGACAATGAACAAACTGGTGGAGATTTACAGATCACTGGTCAACTAACAAAAGATGACAAATTTTTAGTTTATTTCAAACAAGAGTCTCGTCTAATAAAATATCGCAACAAAGTTATTACCTGCAGCTAAGAGAATAAATACTTGTTTTTTCCTCGAAAATCCATTTGATCTCTGGTAGGTGGAGAAAGTTTTTCCAGGAACATATTTACACAAACACAAAATGGATGATGAAGTCGATGTGGAAGTAAGGAAACTCGCTCTTGATCGTGCAAATTTCAACCACATACCCATCAGTGCCATTGAAATATATTTCTTTGTTTTCTGTTCACTATCATGGAATAGTAAGTGATCATGTCATAACCCTGAAAAATTTAAAAGTACTTACTGTCTAAAGACAATTTTTTTTTTGGATGAAGATGAGAATTTGGTTGACACGCTGGGATTAATCGGGGATTAATAGAGCATTTGAATAATCTCCACAGGATTCCAAATTGGAGGGGATCCATTGTTGATCTCAATTTGAAAAACGTTACCAAATTATGCCGTGTTTTCCCCTTAAAATTATTTAACAACTTTCGCATTTCACAGCTTTAACATATTCAATCTTAGGTAACGAAACTTTTCCAGAATTTAAATTTTATGATCAATGAAATCATGTCAGTGAACAAGTACATTTGGTACATTCATGGTTCTCATGGATAAACTAATTTCCGAAAATGGCGGGAAAATCAAAACACGTTATCAATTTCAAAGTAAATACGAAACAGGATTGCATCGTGATCGTTTTCGTTTATATGTCTAAAGATAATGAATTGGACGAAAACTCGCTCTGTTTTGATCGAGTTACAAAACCTACTGACCTGTGGAATATGGTAAATGATTTTTAAATTGTTATATGTAAACAATTAAACAGCAGACTATAACATATTATCATGTAAACTTCCTATATTGATTCACTTCGCACTGAAGATGGCATAAAGCATGCCAAAACATGTTTGCTATAAAGAAATTTGTCGTCTATTTTAAATGTCTTATAACCATTGTGCTCTCACGAAATTATAAAATATGTTATTTTATTTTACAATATGAAATTTAATATTTTGAAAACATTTGACTAATTTTTTGTAGTAACGACTTCTTGAAAGACCCTTGCACCTTGAGAAATTGTGATCATAATTTCTGCAGGTACAATTTTGTTGCATGGTACAATATTTGTTCAACCTACACAAAAACTGTCAAAATCACGAACTGCTATCTTGTCTAGCAACATGCTTAATAATTACATAATATTAAAACAATATTTTTGTTAGAAAATGTATTGAAAATTTCCACGATGAATCAAAATGTCCTGAATGTGGGTTATTTTATTGGGCTAAAGACTTAAAATCAAATAATGCTTTGTCAACAACTGTCAGTATGACAATCAAATTGCAATCTGTTATTGGTGAGAAGGCAAAAGGTTGGTTCTTTTAATCTAAACTAGTGTCAAAATATAAATTAGTGGAAACATATTTTAATGATAAAATAACTTTCAGACTATGAAGATAAGACACTGGAAGATTCCAAAGCCTGTCAAAAAACTGATGGACCTGTAAATTTAGATGTTCACTTTGATCACAACAGTAATAATGACATCTCAAGTAACAAACTGAGCAACTTTTGTGAACAAAATTCTTCATCAAATGATGAAGAAATGCAAGATTTAGGCAATGATACACAATGTTTAGTTTTTCTACAATCTCAGAATGAACAGTGCAATCTAAAGCGGAACCATGAAGAAAGTTATAAAATTAATGAAGCTTCAAAAGAAACAGAACATTCAGATGATGAAAAATATGTGCACATTGAAAACCTGGCTAGTTCAAGTTTGCATAAATCTAAACCAGGTGACAAATGTAGCGAAATGGAGTCAAATACCGACAAGACCTACTTCAACAGAGCAAAAGAAAATAAGTCAACTTTTGAGGGTGGAACTCGTTGTTCTAGCAATAAGTCAACACAAAATGCACATACAAAACTGTCTGAAGAACCTAAAAACTTTGAACATCCATCCTCCCAACGCAGTTCCTCTGACTTTAATCCAGAAAATTCAAAGGGAAAATCATTAGAGGTAAACAGCTGTGTTGTTGATACAAAATATTTGTATCCTTGCAATCAAGATCTTCACACATGTGAAGAAGAAGATGATGAAATTAGGAAACTAAAACAAGACGAAGTCGAAAGAAATGAAGATCTTAACACAAGTGAAAAAGAAGATGATGAAATTAGGAAACTAAAACGAAGTAAACTTAAAAGAAATGATGATCCCAACACAACTGTAAAAGAAAATGATGAAATTAGGAAAATGAAACAAAATAAACTCAAAAGAAGGAAATACCAACGACGCAACGCTCCTTCCCTTTCAAACGCACAACGTAAACTTAAAATTGAGAATAGATTAATTCAAAAATATAGCGAGGATATGAAAAATGAACCTGCAGAGAGACGTTGTAGACGTGATAGGTCAACGAGGAAAATAAAAACTCGAAAAGAACAACGCACGTTGAGTGAAAATGAAGTATTGACCTCAGAATCTGACACAAATGAAGAGAACTTATTAATTAAAAGACATAATTTTGGAAATGATAACCAAGACTTAACAATAATCAGTGATTGTGAGCGAATAACCGAACCACATAACCGAAAAGACAGTTTTACTCGTATAAAAAAAATGAAATGCGGAAATGAAGAGGAAACACGAACTAACCAAAGTGGACAATCTGATGGCACAATTGGAAGAATTAAGAAGAAAAGAAATTGCGATCATTTAAATCTGATCGCATCATTCCCAAAATGTCTCAAAATAAGTTAGATGTTGTTAACAACAAAATGACGAAACCTAAGTCGTTTGATTTCACGCGAAAAGATGATCCTTTTCACTTCAGTTTTGTAGAGTTTGAAAATAATGTTAGCGACGATAGTCAAAAACAATCCAATGAAAGTATGCTGGTGAATGAATGTAACTCAAACATCCTCGACAAGAAAAGTCAAAGGAGAAATTGGAAAGCGAAGGCATCATCTCTTTCAGAAAAATCACCCGTAAAAGAGGAAATGATTACTTGACCAATGACGCACAAAGTAACATTTTGTCTGAAAACTTACCTCGTAAAAAACAAGATTCTCGTCCTACTGAAAGTAAACATATGCATTCGAAGTACAGACGGTGTATGAACACAAAGAAACAAGAAAATGATAGAAAAGATGATACAACGTCAAGTGGATCGCTTGACGGTTCACCTTTTAACAAAAAAGAAAATCAATCCTCAAACACGGAGATGACAAATGTTCGACGAGAGAAAAATGCTTTACAGAAACATTGTACGGTTTATGAAAACTATAATCTCCCTTATGATGTTGGTAAGCTACATATTTTTACATTCCCCTGTAACATTACATTTACGTGTTGTATTCTTTAAGCAACATGTGTGTTAATTTTACATTCCCCTGTAACATTTCATTTACGTGTTGTATTCTTTAAGCAACATGTGTATCTATTTTACATTCCCCTGTAACATTGCATTTATGTGTTGTATTCTTTAAGCAACATGTGTGTTAATTTTACATTCCACTGTAACACTGCATGTATCTTCATGCAAACTTTAAGTTACAAATGTGTTAAGTGTTTGAAACTCTTCCTACATAAAAAGAAAATATTGGCGATGAAATATTGAACTTATACTACGTATATTTTTAGCAACCGTCACTTCTACCAGAAGGACATCGCTTCGTGATTGCTTAACAAAATCATCCTCACAAAGCAAAAGTGCATCATTTAACAAAGGGAGAAACAAGAAAGGAGAAACACCTTTGCATCTAGCTGCAATCAAGGTTGAATGTTTTCTAACGTGCATGTTTAGATTGCTACGTAGGAACATCATATACACACTTTACGAGAAATATTTTACAAGGAAATTGAACAAAACTTGTTTGATTCTTGTTTATCATGCACAGAGCAACTGAAAAATGTTGCATTTCATGCACTAATGTTATCTAAGGAAATGACTAACGATATAATTGTTTGTAGGGAGATCTGTCCCTCGCTGGCACACTAATTAATGAAGGTGCTGATCTCAATGTCAAAGATCATGCTGGATGGACACCATTGGTAGGATTGCTAGAGAACCTCAATGTACCTACACATACGTTAAGCAAAAAAACGCAAAAACAAGTCTGAAATGCATTTATAAATTTTTTCAGCACGAAGCGTGCAACCATGGACATTTGGAAGTTGCCAAGTTGTTTTTGGACAATGGCGCCATGATTAATACTCCTGGTCATGATAACGTTACTCCACTTCACGATGCTGTTGCTAATGGTAGATTGAAAGTCGTCAAACTTCTGGTAGATAGAGGAGCTGTTCTCACGTTAAGGTTTTTTTTGAAAAAATATGTTTGTGGTGTTAAGATTAAATTTTTCAATAATCCCCCATTATTTCGTTTCTTAGAAATAGACAGGGATTATTACCGATTGACTATGCAACGACCAAAGAAATGAAAAGCGCCCTGACTTCAACAGCTCATGTTCATGATGACGATGAAGAAAGTTTAAGACTTGTGAATGTGCGAAGACTTTATTCATGTGTCTACCCCGTTTGCTAATTATTTTATGCTGTACATGTTCGTTAACATCCATTCCTTGTTTTACCATTTGCAGAATCTGCCAAGCTGCTCAAGAGACTCTAAAGTTATTTTAGGTTCTGGGTTGAAAAGAGAACAACAGGTACAGACAAGATCATAGTGCTATACTTAGTTAACAAATCTTTTCTAGCTTAGCTACTGGTACAATAGATCTGTGTACTTTTATTGTCCAACAGGCAATGTTGAAGTACTGTGTCAATCAGCTAGGAGGAATTCTCGTTGAAAATTTCGATGAATCAGGTAGGTAGAAGTGAACCATTCTTAACACCCCATGTTGAATTCCTTACAGGTCGATATTATAAGATTTTACTGTATTTAAACACTAAGCGGAGGAATAAACTAATTGAACTTTAAAAAATTTTAATTGAAATTTTGCAGCACGTTATGTTTTTTTTACTGTTTGATTTTTTTTACTATTTTGTAGTAACCCATATAGTCATCTCAGCGGATGAGAATGGTTATTGTCCGAGAACGATGAAATACATGTATGGATTATTAACTGGAAAATGGATTGTAAATTTTGAGTGTAAGGTTCTAGTTGCAATACGATTGGATATTTTAGTGGTTGGATGTAGTTGTTTGTTTACTTGTTTATTTACACAGGGGTAATGCTGAGTCTTCCACAACAACAATGGCTTGATGAAACTGTATACGAAGTCAAGGGCTCTTCAGCATCAACAATTGATGCAGCAAAGAAAGCAAGATTAAATATGTTGCAACAGGTTCTTCATGCAACCATAAATTTTCATATGAGGTGTTTCCAACAACTCCTTTGCCATTTTATAGATGCCTCGTCTTTTGGACGGTTGTTCTTTTTACCTCCGAGGAACCTTCAATCCTCCCACACTCAAAAAGAACGATCTCATTAAACTTATTAACTTGGGCGGAGGAAAAGTGCTACACAGGGAACCCAAGATCAAAGATGATGATATGGCAGGCTCACGCAAACCGGAAGTACCATATCATGCTCAAAAAAATTCGTCGTTGTCTTGTTGCACCGAGTTTATTTTGTTTGATTCATTATCAACTGATTCTCCCAAAGTTGTTTACTCTCCATTTATAAAAACCGCTCCTGTCAAATGGTTAATGGACTGCATATCGTCTTTCAAGCTTTTGGATATCCCTAATCGTCCATAATGTTATGAAATGAGAATAACATTGATATTAGGAAACTGCAAAATAGCACTTTCAATGTGGAAATCATCTATTGCTTTTAAAACATTTCTTGACTCATTAGAAAGTTTATATAAATGTAGAACCTGCAATTTTCATGAATGGACTTAATCACGCGGAATCAGTTATCAAATGATATAAACTTTGTAAGTGCTGTTTAGCAAAAATCTTGTGTCGAATAGAAATGAACATCAATCTGAACATCAAACTCTACCGAAACGAGGAGTTTGATCTCTTACAAAACATTTGTAGCAGACAAAATCCATGTAATTGTTGTGTTGAGGTGTTATAGTACTGTGTCATATATGTGTATGTAATAAATCACCGCTTTGGTATTGACTTTAATGTAAGGGAGTACCTCGAGCGAGATAACTAGCTAATTTCGGTTTCTCAATTTCCTCTTAATTGCTCTCCAAAGGTAAAGTCGAAGCTTGAAACCTGCACGTGCCGCATGAGGAACTCGCTTGGTTGAAAGAGCGAAACATAGGATGAACGATTTCTGATGTCCAAAGATATTACACTCTTCGAAATAATTTCGGTTGGACCAGCACTTTGAGTATGGTGGTCGGAATAGGAAAATATTTCATGGCATGTTCTGGAATATTTCTTTCATCCAATCAAAATCTGTTGTTGGCAAATCGTCGTCGCGATTTAAATAGCCTTCTTGCACCTCTATGGTAATCTTGGTATCTAGTTTATCTGAGTCTGCAATATCTTCATCTGATGACGTTTCGTCTTCACCGATGTCCATTTCTGCAATGAATATAAAATTATTTTATCTGCGACTCTGAATGTTTAACGTCGAATTTTGGAGTGTGGTCGTTTACGTGAAAAAAGTTAATGTTAAACTTCAAAAATGAAATTCTTCATAAACCACCAGGTAGTCTCATGCACATCCAGGGTATGCTTCAGACAAATATGTTCCACTTTAAGTATTACAAGCAGGTTTAATGAACAAAATGAAAAGCATTAATGTGAACTTAGAATTTTATATATAATTACCTTTCATATCGTCATCATCACTTGTAACGTCTTCATGCTCAGCGGTCACACTAAAAGAAATTATTTTATTCTTATACACAGTGGTAACCAAAGAAAAAAAATAGCCCACAAATAAAAAATGGGTTTTGGTATGTAAAATTAATGGAACTGAAAAACTTTTCTGAAATAATCGTAATAGTAACAGTAGCAATGAGCAATACTCAAGCGGTAATTTGACGCATGAACATGTAAAAAGCTGAAAATTGTTAAATTATGTTAAAAGTATCATGCATTTTTCAATTACACTTAATAACAGATAGTAAAAATGACGGTAATCGGTAATAATCAACAACGAAAATTGTGCATTAGCAAAACGATGAGTCCTGCAACACGAACTAATTTGGTGTGTTTACACTTTGCAAAAATAATTTACACAGACATCGAGCAACTTTCAAAACCGACGCAACGGATACATGGAAATACAGTTGAGTTGTTGAGAGTGACGAACAAGAAGTCATCTGCAGAAAGATCAGGAAAAAAAGAAGAAGGAATCGTGAAATTCTAAGCATGCTAATCGCTGAACTCATTGTGAAGTTGCACAGAAATTTCTATTCAGTTACTCGGAAGTAAAAATACTGTAATCAAAGTTGAGGTTAATTTTATATTTTGGTTGCGCGCTGAGTAGTTGGAGAAAACCGCAGATCACTAAGAGAAGTGTTATCACTCATTGCTAAAGTCTCAAAGTCAGTTACCATATCAGAGATGGATATTAAAAATAATTAAAACTGGTATTGAAACTGGTGCACAATAATAAAACGATGTCTTAAAGAAAAAGTGTTACTACGTATGCAAATGAAGTCAAAGAAACCATATGTTAGTGAGCAAATAGGCATGCAAGTAAAAGATTCGTTCGTGAGCATGTTGGTTGGAGCATTGAGCAACGGAAATATTTTGTGTGGAGTAATGAGTCCCCGTTTTGCATTAAAAATCAATCCCTGCACCATGTGTAGCAAACAAATAAATTTTGTAAAGTTAATGTAACAAACCCATTTTTTTTGAAGGGGGGGCACTTTTTTGGCCACCCATTGTATATGGAAATTTTCTGCTTGAATACAGCATAAAACAAACTGGAATGATTATTTAAAAAGAAAAGTACAATTCTCTCAACATTTACTTGGTAATTTTCCAACAATAGCGATTACAACACACACTAAATACCAGTGAGCAGTATACCTGTTACGTTCCTTGCTTATAAGCAATGAATGGAGAAGTTTTGAACATAAACTTTTCACTGGTGGAAGGGCATGAGATGGAGCACTCAACATCTATAAAATATACATTTATTGAGCTTATTATGATTGACACAGTAGAAAAATTATGGTATATGTACGACAAAAATATTTCAAATAACAGGTGAATAATTTAGTTGTTGTCAATTATTTACTTGTTAGATGTTAAATAATAAGTGGAATAAATAAATTAGTTGTTATCAATTAATTAGTAGTTGGTGAATGTTTTATGAGCTAAAAATTCTATTTTTTCTTTATCAACATAGCTGTGACACAAAAACAATGTGGATGTAAAATTATAAAACATCCGTAGCAAAGTAGGAACGAGCTTTTACTCCCACTATGCAAATTTAACAGCAAAATTATAATTATTATTAGAATGGAGAATTAATTTAATTCATAATTTATCCAGTAAATGAACACAAAAATATTTGAAAAGAAATATCGAATAATCGTTGTGGCTGTAACTGTAGAAAACTTTCAAGAAACGTTTACTTTAAATAGGTTTTCTTCAGTGAAATGATTTGATATTTTACAAAAAGGTTTTTGATTTAAATATGATACACGTCAAATATTGTATAAAAAAGAAAATAGATAAATTTATTATAAAAACTGTTTAACCTCGCGAATAACTTTGGAGGATGCTGAAGTGTTTCTATAAATCCTTGCAGGGTCTGTTACAGTAGAAGTTTGGTCTAAAAAATGAAAGACACATTTCAAGCACATCCATGAAGACATGGCACGAAGTATAGAAGGGAAATGTGCAGAAACGAGAAAGAGTACTTTCAAAGTACCACAGATGTACGTAATGACCAGAGATTTCCATTTAAGGAGAGACATCGCCAGGAAAGATAAATACGTAATGCGTTAAAATTTTACCTTGCTTTTGACTAACTCCAAATACACGATGAAATTCTGAGTTTACATCCTCACTCATATTTTCACTACCCTGAAATATTTAAAACAAATAAAATCCTATTTCACGAAACATCACCGCAAGATTCGTAGATTCGCACGCATTCAAAATTCTGTCATCCAAATGAAGTAAAGTAAAAATAAGCGTTTAGCATATATAAACTCATTTCAAATCTAAATGAAACCTCTTTAACGGAAAGCAACGAAAAAAGTAGACATAAACCTGAAAGACGGATTTGAAAATGACGGAAGAATTGTGCAAATGCAAAATCTACTGCAGTATTTCCTTCTATACACTAGAATCACATCCACGTATAAAATGTAACATTAACTTACCTTTTTAGGAAATACTTCGTCTGAATGGACATCATCAATTGTATATAATATCTATACAAAAAAAAAACAAAAGACATTTTTGATCAAATAAGTGCCTATACAGTTAAGAGTATGCTGGAGCAAACTGTTTGGTATGATAAAGGGTCGAAAATTTGAACATAATTGGATTTGCATGTATGTCAATTTTTTATCGAATAGGAAAATATCTAAGGTAGCGATTTCCTTCTCTCAGAGTCAATAGAAGCCACGTTTGCACTGCAGTTTGACAACAAATGGAAACCAAATGCTTATACTGCAAATAAAAATAAAAAATTTAATACCTGTTTTTTGCTCATGTAAAAAAGCTTAGCCATAGTGATGTTGTCGTTCTTATTAGGCACAGTCAAGCCTCTCGTGTTCAATTGAAATGCAGCAGCTAGGAATTGGGAATCTTTGATCACATCCATCTCAATTGCAAGTGGAATAACAGATCGTGCATCAAAAATGTAAACTGAAATAAAAACAAACCATGTTTTTCTTCTAATCTCAATGGGAAATAATGACCCATGTCAGACTTTGTTTTAATCACATAACATGATCACAATCCGCTTCTACACATTAGATTTAATGTCATTTGAATCTATACATCTCAAGATAAGGTTTCCGTAATAATTTATAGTCTTTGTTGTTATTTTAAACATTTACCATCGATTTGCTGTTTAGCTCCTTTAACAAAAGTAGTTACTAAATAGCTGCACGGATCAGGAAGAATGGAAAGGACTTCAGCTTTTGTACTCCATAAAACTGTAAAGAAATCAGGGGACAACACTTGAGAACATACGTACTGAGACATAAGAATATAAAATGTTGTCGCAATAAAATGATATATAATCTCAATTTAAAATGTGCATTGTGTTCATATTGTATTTTTAGGTTTCACTTCATGATGGAAGGGAGCTATTGGCGTATTCATACTTAATTAACATCATTCATGTCTTTTCATGTGTAGAATGTGATGTTCCAAGCGTATAATTGTGTTTCAGGCATGATTAAGTTTACCTCCACAAGAAAGAAGATTCCAGGCCATAAAATAATGTTTGGTTGTCGCCAACAAAATGTGCGAGCAAACTTTTCTTCCAAATGCTATGTTTCTATTTCCAAGACAAATGTTAGCAATTAATTAAGACATTAATGCTGAAAACAAATCTTACATCCTATTAAAGTAAAACCAAACTATCTACCGGATATTTTCAGCAAAGGGAGAACACAAGGTTTTCTTTTGTTCGTTGATATAAGGATCCCATAATGTGATCACCTGACATGAGAGAAAACGGAAACGATGAGACTAAAAACTTAAAGATGGACTCTTGTACCGCAATGGAATCACGAGTATTGTTAAGTGGAAACACCTTGCCATATACGACAGCCAACAGGGAACCATCTGACGAAAATGCTGCATCGCTTACAGGTTCATCTCGAAAATAACCAACAGATTGACAATGCCAAGATTCTAGATACTCTACAATGAGTAAGTTCGAAACATTATGTCATCATATAAGCCATGAACTAGTACATCATATCAACTAAATGAAGATTGATCAACAATAAAAATAAACTTTGTAAGGCATGCACAACTTTGTTAGGTATGCAAAACTTCCCAAATTAGAAAAATGCATTGGTTACATGCACATACGCCGGAAGCCTGGGACAAGTTGAGCAAGAATCAAGTATTGAGGTTTTCATACATTTCAGACTCAAGATTTTTATTTAGCAAGACAGCAAAATTTTGATTTTCTTTGCTAGAAAATGACTTGTGCTAACCTTAAAAAAGGTGTGATTCTTTCTCGCAAGAACTAACGGCTTTTTACAGAGAAACTCAAATACCATTTATATCATGCTGTTGCTTGACAATCCAAATCTTAAACTTTCCATCAATGGAAGCACTCATAGCCAGCTGAGTCTTTGAAGTACCAGGCTGGAATTCCATAGAGATAACTTTTCCTTCGTGAGGTGGATCTATGCACGTGTTAAGCACATGTCTAAAACGAAGAGACAATACAATCGGTTCAATAATTAACTGTACATGACTTACGCAGCTGAGGCGATTAACTTTGCAGAACAAACAAAATGATACATCAAGATTATATAACCACATATTGCCTAAATACGCACTTATACCTTTGCGATTTTTTGTTATATTTCCAAAATTTCAAACGATTTTCCGGTGTCATTTTACCATCGTCTCTTCGTTCTATCTGTAATTTTCAAATAAATGTAAAAACAATATCACCAAGCAAAGATTAAAATGAAATAAAAAAACAACTACCGTAGCAAGCCAGCTTCCATCATCTGAAAACTTGACATGCTCAACAACTATCAGTTGTAATGGAGTATTCTTTAATCGCGAAATGTAGTTTTGCTGAACTATGTCTAACTACGTACGTAAATAAAAAAAAATGGAAAGTATTATAGATTAGCATCAATATTCATTCAATGACGTATACAATCAAAAGGAAAGCTTTGTCAGAAACAACGCAATGGTACTTACTGTGAAAGATAAACAATCAGTTTCCGGTCGGTAAAACTGTAAACTGCCATCTTTATTATTGAGTACCAATGATTTACTACAGGGATCCGCAACCAAACCAGAATAAACTTTGTTTGCTAAGGAATAACAAAATGAATCCCTGATTTATAACGGTTGTCCAAACTGCAAACTTCCACTTGATCAATGGTGATGTAAATATTATTTTAAAGCAACAAAAAAAACATGACATTACTTAATACTGATGACATTGAGAGAGAAAAATTGCAATGCCAATACCTCTGGTGAGACCTTGAACAACATTTACAACGGACAAATCCACGGCAGAAACTAAATTGATCACTAAAAACATACTTATATTAATGTAACAAGCAACACACGACATACAAAAAGTTCAATTTTTGTTACCATTATCAACATGAGAAACTGCTATCAGAGCATCGTCGTCACTATTGCAAATATGAGCTATAGGAGCACCAAGACGAGGCTTAAACTGTTTATGGTTGGAATCCACTTGCCAGAAGACCAATACTGACTCCTCGCCACCAGAATATAAATATGCACCTGAAAGCAATTTGTTAGAGCGTCACATTAGTAACTTTTTTGCACAAGTCATATTTTTTCAATTTTGGATTTTTCCTTCGGCTATTATTTTGTCTACTGCTTTGTTCTGTATTTATTGTATAGAAAACGAAATAATGGACGCATCACAAAGAGAATTAAAATCTAACTTTAAAACTTTATGCAATGCCTAAAACAAGCTTGACTACTAATCTAGGGGAGACAATCAAAAAATCACCAAACATCGTTTATTCCACAATTGAAAAGTGATCATTACTTTGCGAATCGCGAAATGATTTTTTAACAAACTCGGATGGCAATAACAAGTTATAGTAAACTAGCCCAATGAAAAACGTTCATACGTAGCAACGTTCTAGGTACATTAAGCATCCCCAAATCAAAACAAATGGAATCCATAATAGTCCCTACCAATTGAAAAGATGTAATAATCACACCTACCGTCATGACTAAACTTTAAACTAGCAACTGAATGCGCATGCCAGTGAAGCTTGCTTCGTATTGGTTCAGAATCAAGCTTTATATTCTTCCTAAAATAATTGAATCCGTTTTCATAACTTCCGTAATATACTTATAATTCAACAGAACTCTGTGTGGCATATCATTCATAAGGTACGTGTACATAAGATCGTGCCGCTAGCAATATAATGGACTATTTAAAGATGGATTTCAAAATAGCAAATACCATGGTGAATGGTGATAATAACTATGTAATAGTTATTAAAAGAACTGTTTTAACCAGAACACTAACCCAACAATTCAAAGGAACCGTTATTTAAAGCTAGAAAGAGACACTTGTAGCTGTAAAAAAAAGGTTCCTTTGAATTGTTGGGTTAGTGCTCTGGTTAAAACAGTTCTTTTAAGAACTATTACATTGTTATTATCACCATTCACCATGGTATTTGCTATTTTGAAATCCATGTTTAAGTTTGTCACCACGACAAAGTCTATGTTTCACCATTTAAAGATTGAAACCAAAGATGTTTCATTAACTGCTGTGATTAATTATTAAATATCAACAGGTACTGGACATGTGCAATGTTACCAAATGAAAATCTTTCCATTGTCGTGCCCAGTAGCAATGCATGCATCATGTGGATGGTATGCAACTGACGTTATCTCAGCCTTGCAATAGTGTCTGTAAATAAGAAAATATAATTTCTCATTAAAGGGGAATAGCAACCAACTTTTTTTCATTACCAACAAATATTTAAGATATTTAATAGAGAATGAATTCTATACGACATCGTAATTCTCTATAGAACTCTCCCTAAATCACTTTGAAAATAAATAAAATTGAACAAAGGAAGCCATCTTTAATTTAAAAGCAAGCTATTATGGAAATATGCGTTTAAGGAAACGAGAAAAAGTGATTTTTTTGTCGGGATTTTTTTCAGTGCTGCTATTAAAGCAATAAACCGAACAATACATGGCTATATGTTAACATATATACACAAGACTTGTATTTGCCGCATAACATTTACCCTGTTGTGACGTCATTTTACTAAAACATGAAGATGTTGACAAATACGTATATACGTATTTTGCAAAACAATAACAAATATTAACATGGCAATAGCTGCCTTGGCTTTAACTCTTTAGCAAAAAAAATATTTGATGGAATCAAAAATGAATCCGAAATAAATCATCTTGGGAATTTTTTTTAACTACTTCAAATCAATAAAACTTTTACAGATAATTTATGAAATGTTTCTTTTTGGCGGGAATGGTGTTGCTAGGAACATTTTGAGCTACAAAATTGAAGCTGTAACACAGAAGAAGATTATACAGAAAGGTCACTTGTGTCGGAGCCTTTGATGTTTTTGTCATCGCGCATGTCATGCCGCGCATGGTGGGCGCCATTGTTCCGGCCAGTTGATTTGCTTTTTGATTGTTCCCAATCTTTAAAATGATCCAAAGTCCTTTCTTAAGTGAAAATATTCTCGAATTCATTATTAAGTATTGACGTCGTGTAATTTTAATAGTTGCAAACCAGTAACAAATCCTAATCAACTACCTGGAATAATGGACGACGTGAGGGCATGTTTAACACCTGAGTGACCCTTTTGTTATAATCATTATTCTGTAGTCACGCCGTGAAGCTGTGACGTCAAGCAGAAACAGAAAGCGATCACTGAGTTCACAAATAACTGTGCAACGCGTGGACGGTTTTAAAAATGGCGGATATCAAATGCCAGTAATAATAGAACTGTTGTTATTCTGGTATCTTGAAAAACCGAGAAAAAATAGGAAAACATGGGTACACATTTGCCGTCATTGTTAGAAACTCCTGATGCAATGAACCAACCAAGGCAAACGAACCTGATTTAAATGTCGCGGTGAAATTAACCCTACTTCTATTTCGTAGCATGTGCAACTTGGTGTTACGGTCTGGCAATCAGTGTTTACGACATCTAGGGATGGGCGATACCAGTTTTTTCATTTGATACGATATTTTGTGGATATTTGCCCGTTTTTTTCGATATCGATATCGATATTTTCCCAGCTCAAACAACCACAACAAAAAGGAATACTTTATAATGATTAGTAGGGGCAACAACTATATTTAAATTTTGTACTTAATAGTGCCAATTTATATTAATAATACTACATTATACTACCAAAATATAAATGCATTTAACTTCGAACGTATCTTTGTAAGCACAACTTTTTCTTTCAATGGGGCAACTAGCCATGTTTATTTACATATAATAAAATTTTGAAATTTATGAAGCTCATACAAATAAAATTCTTATTATTTTCACGATGAACGATGATTTCGCTGACCAAAATAGTAAAACATCGCAGGCGCATAAATATTGAAAAATGGATATTTTGTACAAGTATCGATACTTTTCTCCTAAACCTTGGTATCGATAGTATCGAATATTTGGTATCGGTATCGGTCCATTCCTAACGAAATCATGTAATATATACGTAAGAGGCTAATTTGGACGTGCTAAAGCTTACGGTTACAGCGTTTGTTACAGCTTCCGGTGTGAACGTATTCATTGCTGTCGAAACATTACCTTTGAAGTATCTCTTCCTTGAAATACCAAATCTGTAAGTTGTGCTTCGATACAACTGCAACTTGTTCACCCTGAATAAATGATAAGGTTTGTCGTAAGAAATTGAACTACATATATTATTCTATTGTACTATGTGATATATCAAAACTAATTTAAATAAGTACACGTAACAATGCATCGAGGGTAAGAGGCTCCAGACTTAATAGTTTGGTGTTTTTACACTATGAGAATTAAATGATTTGTACGAGAAATAGCTATAGCTACGTAAGTTGAAATGCTTTTCTTGTGCTTAGTCCACAGACTTAGAGGAAGAAAAATATATCGAAAGAAGCGCCACATGATAAAAGTGTCTACGTATATGATGTTTATGCCTTTGTGCATTTTTACATAGTTGATCTTACTTTATAAACTTTTGAGATACATTTTATAATTCGAAAGTATGACTTTGCTAGGTTTTTTGATACTCAACGTTGAATAATTTACTATTTTGAGCATTCTTATTTTTGTACGTCACAACGTGAATTCGTCCATCGTATCTTGTTTAAAATTGGAGTTTATGAACGTCCACGAAACAAGATGTGAAACACGCGTGTAATGCGACAAATAGCTATGCTTTTGAATTATACCTTCAAATGCAGTGCTTTCTTCTAGAATGTTCCCGATATGACGTCAAATCAGGAGCTTCTCCCCAGTTTCTTCAATGTCACTAGGGCTTAGGAAAATGTGCGAAGATCAAATCTTGCAGTTACAAAATATATTATCAATATATTTTGCACGTCACAACTTATCAATTGCAACATACACAGAAAGGGGAAGCAATCACGTATACAAATTTCTCTATCATTTTCACCGGCGTTTACTAAGTGACATGTACGTGTATTTGACTGCCGTCGTACAAAACATGGAGGACTGAATAAAAAACCACAAAACTAAGGTAATTGTAGTCGTAATATAAAATACTTTAAACATTTTAAATTGATGGCAATATTTTTCAGTTTATATTTTTAATCACAAACATTTAAAATGCAGGTTAATGATATGAAATATGATACAAGTGAGCTGACACTTAATGAATGTAGCTCATGCCATATTGGTTAAACCACCAAACAGTTAGCCACAAGGATCAAAGTCTCAAAATCTCCGACAAAAACTAACACATTCACAAAAAATCAAGGTACTCCTTAAGTATCATCTTACTTGTATCATATTTCTATATTATAAATAACGTACTCATTCACACTGAAGATGACTTACAGTTAAGTCAAAACATGTTAGTGATAAAAATATAAAACTGGAAAATATTGTTGTCTATTTAAGCATCATACACCTAAGAACATAGAATAAAATACTTACCTTCTCGCTAAAGCAAAAAGCATCAGGGCAACTTATAATTTTGCAAATTTTGTCAAACTTCAAACATGAGTTGACTTCATGAAGGCCTTTATTTTCTGAAGACAGGCTTGATTTTCCAAACAAAAATTTATCCTTTCCTAAAAAAGATTAGAAATAAAATTGACTAAGTTCACAAAATTTTGGAAATAATTAAGGTACTTCAAAATAAAAACTTACTTTTATCATTTCTTTTAACAATAAACAAAGTATTAGGATGGTCCTTGTGAACAGTAACTCCATGTAAAGAATATTGCGATTTGCATTTCTATAAAAACATTGTCTACATGTTTAAATCTACATACCTAAGTGCTAAACCAAGTTTCATGCATTAGCCAAAAGTGAAAAAACATGACACAGATAAATATATGAATTTACCTGGACTGCAATCTCTGTAGTACTAATATTTAAAACATACACAATGAGGCAGCAAATGTAATAATTGTGGGGGACCTTTAAAATCCATTGTTTTCTAAAGACTGTCCCCTCCGCCCCTCAGACACAAAATGATCACATTTGCTGTACCATTGATTTAAGGCTTTTACCATGTTCACTATACTTACAGTAATGATAGAACCATCCAAAATATCCCAGAAATAGACATCGCCATTTAATGAACAAGATATCAACTAAATCAAAACAAAACACAGTATTTAACAAAGAAAAATGTATGGCACAAATTTCAACCTACGTAAGTAGATTGCAATTAAGTGGGAAATTTAAACACATAGCATTATTTAACACAATTATAGCTAATTGGGTTAATATTGCAATCATTTTGAAATTTAAATAGCTGCCAATTTCTAAAGGGACACAAATAATACCTAATAAACTATCAAATACAACTTAGCACAGTTACAACTGCTAGAAATCTGCCTATGAAACAAAAATTTTGCTAAGTTATACTTTCATTATACCAAGATTTTAAAATGACAAAGGGATTTCTATGTATACCAATTTTTGCAAATCACTTGTCATTCTTGAGAAATTAAGGTTCTTGTTATTTCCCATTTATCTAACTTGTGACATCATATTGCACAATGAGAATTAGAAATATTATGTTCATTTACTGCTAAGTTACTTTAACAAGGCAAAGTTCCCTGTATTATCATGCGTTAATGGTTTAAAATGCAACCTAATAGTTTAAACCTAAAGTTGTGACAAAATTGAAGAGCATTTGAAACATTCAGGCAACTCAATATGCAATTTGACGTCTCAAGTTAGATAATTAGAATTAACAAAAACTTGCATAAATTGCACAAACTTGCATTGCGCAAACTGTTTTAGAAAGTACACTGTCAGTTCAAAAGGTCTGTTCAATATAAACATAATTTAGTTAGCAAAATTTCATTTCATAGGCACTTTCAGTAAAGTGTAAAAGTAATTTCAGCAAACTAATTTGTGCCATGAATGCCTGTCAACGACAATTATCAATGTCATTATTTCATGGAAAAATTCCTTCAATTCCAGAAAACCTTCACTACAGACTTTGACCGACTCCTTCAAATACCTTATTTTACATACATATTTATAGTAAATTACATTGTAACAAACATAGTACTGCCAAACATCAGTATTATGTTGTCAAAAATGTGAGATGAAGCAGTCAATTTTGAGATAAAATCCCTAATTTTAAGTTGACCTACCTGTAGTTGATTATTTGGATTGATGCAGAGATCTGTAACTTGATCATTATGACCTTCATAAACTGACACCAACTCTCCAGTAGAAACACAATATTTTTTTAATTGGCAGCCACAAGCACAAAACAAAGACCTAGGAAGGAATATTCACCCATATGTTTTAATTTTAACTAGGAAGGTGATGAGAAAAGAAATATAGCTAATTTCAACATATTAAAATTATGACCTCATTGAGCATAATAATTTACAATATGACTTTTGATAAATTAAGATTGTGTGATACTTTTGTTACAAATACCACTGATAATTGAAAATTTAACTCTTGTATTATATTATATTGTTTTTGATATTTTTCTGTTCAGGAGGCACATCCAAAAAAATTCTGAGAGTGTTCTACATTCTAGTCCAACTATTGAAGTTTCTGTTTTAGACAGAAAAGCCTACAATTTTAGACAGTGTGACCTTTAATTATTCATCAGTTTTTTGGCCAGCAATTAACACATATTTCACAAAAGCAGGGGGGGGTGTTACACCTTCACATCTCTTAAGGTGCACCTCCCACACCCCTAAGGTGCACCACCACACCCATTTAAGATGCACACATGGTCTAGTTGTTAATAAATTAAAGCTATCGTCAGTGTAATGATATTTAATGATTGGTGTTTGGAAATATTAAGCTAAATGAATGGTATAAAATCATTAAACATGACATATTGGTCATATATAATTTGTCAATTATAAAAATAGGAAAAAGTCTTGCTCGGTAATTTTGTAAGTAACTAAAACATTAGATCTCAAATGCAAGTAAAAAGCACAATTACATACCACAAGAACAAACTGTCCAAAGCAATGTAAAAATTGCCTTTTCATACGAAGGGTTTTTTACCACCAAATACATAATTATTAGATAAGTCATAAAACAATAAAATGTTTCATGTTTGTAAATGAAGATCGTCCATGTTGGTATAGTCCTGAGAAGGACTGTTTTTGTTGTTGTTGACTGACGTTTCGACAACCTTAGCGATAGTCATCTTCAGAGTCAAATGAGGAATAAATAATATAGTCCTTCTCAGGATTATACCAACCTGTACGATCTACATTTACAAACATGTAACGATACTCCCGGGTTCGAACTATTTACTTTAATAAAATGTTTCATAAATAGCTTACGATTTGTGAAGTAAAATTAGTTGTTAGTCATAAAATACCATACGTATCTTATTGTACGTAATATATGACCAATTTTCCCTCTTAAATACAACAAAAAATACTTTAATCAATAGCAATACCTATGAGCTAATAGCAGAAAATTAGTTACTACACTGGCAGTCTTTACACACCATAGTCTACCGGGCAGAAAATATGGTCGAAAAAAAAGAAAAAATAAATCATACTTTGAATCTTTGCTGAATACCACACTGGATATAGATGTTCCACTAAGTGCACGAACCTTACCAATTTCTGACAATTTCATCATGGTTTATTTTCTACCATTAACAAGCCATTTATTCGAGACCAAATTATCCTGTGAATTGACCATGGGATAGTCCAATGAGGCACATGCTCGGCTCAGCATCCCGCAGGACTCGTGCTGGCTGATTGGTCAAGATTGTCCTGTATGGTCCTCGTTGATCCGCAAAATTAATGAACCCGCAATAGGGATGCATAGCCACAAAGTAAAATAACCCATATTAAATTACAAAAGCATTGTATTACTGTTTTCTAAATATTCCATGTATTGTACTTGTATTCCATGTATTAGCGGTAGTCATCTGCAGAGTCAAATAAGGAGTAAACGTCAGGTTAGCCGTATTTGTTATCTGGTTTTTACTTCATTATATTGTGTGTACAGGAAATGTGCGGGTGTCAATTGTGTATTGTCATTGTAAATTAGTGTGAAAAGTAATGTTTTTAGTTGATCTTTTGTTTGTATTGTGAATAAGTCGTTTGTAAGGTGCCGGTAATTGCTGTGATCTGTTCAGGGGGGTTTCTTCCAAGTTGGTATACCAACTTTCTAATGTAAGCCGTTGTATATAGTCAGTACTGTAAGTGATCCATTTTGCCGAGTCCCAGTCAATGTTGTGCTTTGTGATTCGGTGATGTTAGGCAATGTGATTAGTTTTGTCTTGTTTCTTTGTAGCTCGTTTGTGTTCAGTAAGCCTTATGTTTAAGTTCCTGCCAGTTTACCCGATATAGGAGGCGTGGCAGTCGGAGCAGTTTATTTTGTAAACTGCACCTTGTCGTTCGTTGGGTTGTTCTTTGTCCTTTATGTTCGTTAGTACTTGTCGTAACGTTGTGATTGGCTTATGTGCGACACGTATGTTGTATGGTCGTAAGATACGCGAGATAGTCTCAGACGTACCTTTGATGAAAGGTATCGTGGCTGTTGTCACTGAGTTGTTCGTTTGGCTGGGCTCGTTGGGTTTGTAAGTGTTGCGTTTGAAGAAGTCAGAGTTACAGTTGTTTTTGTCAAAAACACGTTTCAGATAATTGTTTTCGTTGTGTAGAGCGTCCGGTGAATCACATATGATTTGTGCACGTCTTGTTAATGTTCTGATTGTGGTGGCTTTTTGTGATGTAGGGTTGTAAGATGATTGGCCTAGTAGTCAGACAGTGTGTGTTGGCTTGCGATAAACTGTTGTTCGTAGTTTTTGATTGTCCTGTTTTGCCAAACAGTCGAGAAAAGGAAGAGTTCCGTTTTCTTCGACATCTTTGGTAAATTGTACGTGACTGTTCTGTTTGTTGATGTGAGTGTGAAAGTCATCAATCTCGTCTGCATGTAGTGCTGTGATTGTGTCATCTACGTAGCGAAACCAAAAAGGTAGTGCATGTTTGTAAGTCGTGAGCGCCCGCTCCTCTATAGATTGCATTAAAATTTCAGCAACTACAACAGAAACGGGTGAGCCTATTGCTGTTCCATGTAATTATTTGTAGTTTGTACCTTTGTACTGGAAGTAAGTCGAGGTGAGGCAGAGCTCCAGTAGCTCCATAATGTCTTCTGTCGGTAATGGCAGTACGTCCGTGGTGTTTGTAACGATATGTAACGATACTCCCGGGTACAAACCATTTAATTTGGTATGTATTTTGCAACGAATCTCTATTACTATTTTGAAATATTATCATTTCCAAAAAAAACATCTATTTATAAATTATAACTATTTTAGCAAACTGTATTATACATCTTCTACTTCGATGACACCAATATTTTCTTATTTAGAAGTTTGTGGCCTTAACCCACCCCCCCCCCACCCCCCCACCCTACAGACACACACACACACCTTTCTATACAATTCATCCTGTTCCCTCAATCCTATTTCCTTCAGCCTCTCATTTTACAAGTTTTTTCATATTCTCAACTTATATACTTTACATAAATCAATACGAAAAATATTTGTACACTTACGTAAGTTTAACTGTCTTGACTATATAGGTTGCTCATCCTCATCTCAACTTTAAAATAGTAACTGGTGTCAACGTTTTAGCAAATTAATAATTTGTAAGAAATAGAAAAAATTTCCGTGTTTGAATAGAGTTATACAAACTACTAGAGATGTGGAAATAGTTCTCTCTTGTTTGAGTAATACACATTGTAATAAAGAAAAAATTTAAAAAAAGGGCGTATGTAGTTCAATTACAAATGTATTTTTACACACTTCAATGGGCTTGAGTTAAATTTGGCTTTTGCGGAATCGATCAACTCAAAAAATTGTAAAAAAGGACTTTTGAAATTGGACAAGAAATTTACCTGTTGGTCAAAAAATCTCCTAAACGAAAAGATAAAAAGAATAAATACCACAGGCCAGACAATTACAAAAAGGACTGTTCGTGGTGAACCTCTTGAATCTATTTTGAGCTACTTGGATGAATTAAAAGAGTAAGAACATATTTGAGATAAAGCACCACTGATCGCAGATTTAATCATCTTCTGATGCTTCATGTAGATCTTGGAAAAAGAATGGTTAACATACCTACACTTTGTTCATCAAACACTGAACAAAAAATAATTACTGTTGAACAGCATGTTGGCGGTTGTTCTCAGCATAGGACTGGTTTCGGGGCTCAGCTGGTGAGGAAAATGGATCGTATGCATCGCGGCTTAATCGCATCAGATTATACAACCAATGATAACATCTTCTCGATTAACGCACGTATAACCCAGAGAAAACTAATCAAACGTATTAAAATATATAATGGATACAATATGAATTATGGATATTCAACTGTATAAAAATCAAAACTAATAGTAATGATCCAGCCAAAACCTTTCTACCAACAATCATGCTCACAAATACATGTCACATAACTAAGAAAATTGATGAACTACATGAAGTTGTCATGAATAATGGTCCTGAAGTTGTACTGGTTGCAGAATCCTGGCTTTCCCCAAATATACCAGACACAGCAATATCAATCAATGATGAATACAAAATTTTTCGTAAAGACAAACCCACCCTTGGTGGAGAAGTTCTTTCCAATGTACATCGAAGAATACCTGTTAGTCGTAAGTTATTTGATGAAGACAATGATAAAGAGGTGCTATGGTTAGTACTTAAACCAACAAGAACGCCTCGCCCATTTAATGCAATTGTTATTGTCATTATTTATCATCCACCTGGACAAAGTGACGAAAAAGAACATGATGTGATTAAATATCTCATCAAAAATTTAATTCAGTTTTTATGTGAACGTCCATCCTCTGCAATTATAGTTGCTGAAGACTTCAATAGATTAAACTTGACTAATCTATGTAATTGTTTCAATTTAAAAAAAATCTATCCTATACCCAACCAGAGGAAAAAACGTTTTGGATCAAGTCTTGACGAATATGCGAGATATGTAGAAACCAACAGACCATCTACCACCATTGGGACGTTCTGATCACCAATGCCTTCTATTAGTGCCAAAACAGAAAGAAAAAACACCAACAATTTCCAGAAGGGTAAGACTCTTAACAACTGGAAATGTAAATGTCTTATGCAGAAGACTTATTCTTGAAAATTGGTCGGAGATCTTTGATGTAGAGAATGTAGATCAAAAAGTAGACGCCTTTACATGGACGATGTTTAGTATTATGGATGAAACTATTCCTGAAAAATACAGTACGAATGCACACTTCAGATAAACCTTGGATGACAAGCTCTATATAATCAAAGATCAAAGCCAGAAAACGTGCTTTCTCTTGTAATAATCAAGCACGTTATGAAAAACTATGTTCTGATGTCTCAGAACTTATAAACAACGCCAAAATTTCATATTACAAACGAAAAGCAAGACTTTCGTACGACTAACCCAAAAAGATGGTATAAATCAATCTTCTCAATGTTGGGAATTAATAACGGGAATAATGTAAAAAGAAATGTCTATGATAAAAATGTACTAGAACTAGCTGAAAAATTACAACAAGTCTTAACAAAACCTTGGAAAAACCAATTACCCAACTACGAAATTGAAGATAACTTGATCAACCAAACGCTCAAGGATATCAAACCTCATTTACCATCTATTGGACAGGTCAAGAGCTGTCTACAGCACCTAAATCCTAGAAAAGCAACATGAGATGACAAAATTCCGGCATGGATGCTTAAGCATTTTTGCGAAGATCTTGCACCAGTCGTACACAATATAGTAACCACAAGTATAAAACAATGCAAGTACCCCAACCAATATAAACATGCACTAATAACTCCAGTTGCTAAAGTGAATAATCCAAGTAATGTTGAAACTGACTTCAGACCTATATCTGTCCTTCCTCAAATGGCTAAAGTAATAGACAAACTTCAACTCCATTAGAATAAATCAGATTTCAAAATAAAGAATAACCAACATGCTTTTACTCATGGCCGATCTTCTGTATCTGCTTCATATCTATGACACAAAATTAGTATAATGCAAGAGATAATTCTCAATCAGGAAGAAAGGGAGTTAAGGTATTATTTATAGATTTTCGAAAGGCATTTGACATGGTGAATCACAACATATTACTACAAAAATTAGCATCTATGGAAATTAATAAATCTTTCTGGCAATGGATTCAAAGTTTTTTGACAGGAAGAATGTAACAAGTCAATCTACAAGGAGCCATGGCATCCATTCAACCTTGCCCTTTGGGCGTGCCACAAAGCGCTGTCATATCACCAGTGCTCTTTAATGCATATATAAATGATTTAAAGGACAATATTCCTAAAGAAATTGATGCTAATACATGTAAATAAGCAGATGATTGCACTCAGGACCAGATTGTCGAAAGAGGTGAATGCAGTTATATGCAAAAAGTAATCGACGAATTACGGAAATGGGCTGATAATAACAGAATGGCTCTGAATCCGAAAAAAAAACAAAGAATATGTGGATAAGCTTTACGGACTCAATACAAGAACCACCCCCATATTTATTGGTGAAGAAGAAATAGAAAGAGTTAATAATTTCAAACTTTTCGGCGTAAAATGTCAAAATGATCTTAAATGGAATGAACATGTACACCAAATTACATGCAAGGCAAATAAAAGACTACCATCTTGGACTTTGTAGGAAGTCTCAATTAACTTCAGATGTTGGATTATTAACATATACATCAAAAATAAGACCAGTATTAGAGTATGCATCGGCAGTCTGGGCAGGACTTCCACATTTTTTACAGCAAGAAATTGAACGTGTACAAAGAAGAAGTTTAAAAATTTTACAACTAGATAAAAACTACTTGCCCTCTTTGAAAAGCAGACGTGAACTAGCAACTACCCAAGAGGTCAAAAGGATTATAGAGGAACCTGACCATCCATGCAAATTTTTAGTACCTTATCCCAAAGAAAATTCGCACGAGTTGCGTAAAAGTAAACTTATAGTATTTTATCAAGGACCAAACGTCATAAACAATCTTTTATTGCTAGATCTTGTAAATATATATATAATAAAGTTAACATGTAATTCTTAGTATAGTATGATAATTATATAGAAAATCAATGTAAATTCATCGTACTTTTCAATCTGAAGATGAATAATAAAAACTTTCAATTCAAATTTCAATTCAAATTCAGATCAAGTGTAGATATGGTTGGTGTTGCAAATGACTTCGTTGAAACAAATGACATGAGAAAACAGGTTTTCGTCGTTAACGCAGACAGATTATGTTATAATGAACAACAGAAAAATTAAGAGACTAATAGATTATCTTGTTTTTTTTGGGACTAAAATGACTTATTTGGTTTTTGTGGGTAGCCTGTTTGCAGAAAAAAATTTTTTGACTCTGAAGATGACTACCGCTAAGGTTGTCAAAACGTCAGTCAACAACAACAAAAACAGTCCTTCTCAGGACTATACCAACCTGGACGATCTACATCCAAACATGTAACGATACTCCCGGGTTCAAACCATTTACTTTATTGCTAGTTTTATCAACCAAAGGTCAGATTGATTATTAAAACAAGTAACATTTTTGTGCGGTTGGTGTAATTAAATATGTGTTCGATTTATTGGCGAAATAAACGAAATACTCATCACAATAATGTACTACAGCCATTTGCAATTGACTGTGCTGCGTATAAAAACAATGAAGGTCTATCGAACGATTTTAGGGGAAATATTTTAAACAAAACATTAGAGTACGCAAAATTGTTGTGGATGAGACATAGTGATCTTCACTGTCTTGGTCGTAAGTTGTTGACATTTTGTTATGCAATGCTCTCTCATAGTTAAGCCTAACACTATTTTCTGACAATATTATATCGTTCGAAAAAGATCTCGGGATCTTAACGTTGCTTCGAAGACTGCAAGAAAATATCACAAAGTAATTTGATATATTGCGAGAGCAATGATTTCGCGGAAGTAAACATGAGTTGGATTCATTGCTAGAATATGTGCAGAGTAATCTTATTTTTCACAATGCATTTTCATAAGAAAATTTGCTGACGATACAGATTTCGTCGCAAATTGGTTTTCAATCAAAATGTTAATAAAAATTGTCGACAAACTTTGTGACGCTTCATGAAGATATTGCTGCTATATTGTTTTCTAGTTGGCAAGCCCCCTGCAAGTCCATTCTTTAATGGAGTACCGAAATACCGAAAGCACTGTATTCCATGAATACTACAAATACGACATCAATCACATCATAAATAATTACTATTAGAAATATCAATAGTCATTATGTCCTGGACGTGCAGATTGTATAATCTGTAAATCACACTGTTTTTTGTAGTATACTACACATATTTTTTCGTATAAATTAGCACCGCTGTCTGTATAACACTTAACCTTATAGAAGAATATCTTTTATCTTTAACTCAAAGATATTCATAAAACTTGTATTTTTCGTACTTGTTAAAGTTTGCTGTCCATCAAACGAAATATAATATGCGTAATATTATTTAGACTGTATTCGATATTTCATGACGTTTAATCGCTATGTTTTCAATTGCAATATTGTCAATTCAGGCGACCCACATGTACGCTCTGCGTACCTATTTTTTTAGAAATACGACGGTTTTCTTTTTAGCGAATAAGCAAAGATAGAGGGTTATATTTTGTTTGCGGTACGCATTGTTAAATCTTGAATTAATATTTTTGTTCAAAGTAACAATACACTTTAAAAAACTTTTTAGAACGCAAAATTGTGAAAAGTGCAGTGTTGGGTATCGAGGCTCTTTATCATTCATGATAAGCCCCCCTCTACCCCAATCTGACTTCATTCGACCACCTTATTGTAGAAACTCAAACCGGAGAAATGGCCGATGGCGAGCGCACACGGCACACGAATGACCTTCCTGCAATGGATATAGCTATACTGGGATCCATCTACAGTGAGGTCAAGTGCACGAGTCTTGAAAAATTTATTTGGACAAATTTATTTTGAATCAAACAAGCAGTCATTGTCTTATTATTAAACGAGAAATATCGCTAAATAACTGCCTTCTACATCAGTAAACATTCAGGTCGTGAATTGTGGGTGATTACCATTGAGTTCTATACAGGTCAGTGGTGACTACGTGCCATTATTTCCAAAATTGTTATGTTGCCATTTTTATTATACAATCAATAAATTATTACAAATTTCAAAGAGACATTTTTAAGAATATTTTACATTGATCATAATTGCAATTTAATTGGCAATGGTAATTTAGCTAAATAATAAAAAGTGCAAAACATCAATCATTTTATTTCTTCCTATTCGGTTTCTTTCTGTTCTTGGAAAACTCTTCGGCAATAACCCCAGTGGCAGCATTTAGCTTCTTTTTAAAATCCAGTAATTTTAAAACTTCAGCATCAATTGTCGTTTTCTCAGCTTTATCAGCTTTCAGCTTACGGACAATATCACCCTAAAATAAAACACGTCTACGCTAGAACCGAAAATTATATGAATATAAATAAAAATAAAATACATTAAAGACAAGACTATTTTTTAACTTTATCAAACAGCCTGAAACTACGTTTGTTTTACAAAACCTGTTTCGCAACATCACTCTCGAGAGCTTTGATCTCCTCGTCCGTTTTTTTACTCTGAAAATATTTTCAAGTTTTGAACTTCCAATCACAAAATTGAAGAATAATAAACACAACTACAGAAGATATGGAAATTTCACGATTTGCTGTCCGTGAAATAAACCAACACATAACTCCAATATTGTGTAATGCAATAAATGAACACACAACTCTGTTAGTATTTATGAGTACAAATCAAAGTGCATACCAACCTTTTCACCCTTTTCACCACTATTCTGTCCAGAATAAAGCTTTCTAAATTCTTCCATCTTATTGCTGTCAATTTTATCGAACAAAGGTTTGGGCTAAAAGAAACAAACATATTTCCAGTTCAGTCTGGCTTGTGTGCAAAATAAGACAGTTGAAATGGATGGTCATGTACATTAATGGTGAATCATGTACCTCGCCAATTACATGGCCAACTTCTAGATGTGGCACAAATGAATCGATGATAACAATGTGTTCATCAGAAAGCTGAAATTAATATTAATAAAAATTATATCTTTGTTTTATCCTTTCCTTGGGTAGTGCCAGAAAACAGAAGGTTGCTATTGCCCGGCGACCATGAAGAAAAGATTCAATTTCAGCTTCTGTTTGACTCAAAATGACATTGTCAAACAATCATATTGAGCTTCGATAGAGCCTCAGCATTTGGCAAGATGTATGACAAAAACTTGATGCTAATGCAATAGAAAACCATTAGCTTTGGTATCAAGTAATATAATACTTATTTATAGGGGTAATTATTCTGAAAGTGTCAAGGCTGAAAATGTGTATCCTAATCCTAAATCAAATCTTGCTCAACATCCATAATACATATGTATAAAGCAAATACACCACTGGCTTTCCATAATAAGATAGATATAACATAGAATTGTTAGGGAGGTTTATCATAACCTTGACGTACTTATGTTGTGCACCATAGTATAGTATAGTATAGTATAGTATAGTATAGTATAGTATAGTATAGTATAGTATAGTATAGTATAGTATAGTATAGTATAGTATAGTATAGTATAGTATAGTATAGTATAGTATAGTATAGTATAGTATAGTATAGTATAGTATAGTATAGTATAGTATAGTATAGTATAGTATAGTATAGTATAGTATAGTATAGTATAGTATAGTATAGTATAGTATAGTATAGTATAGTATAGTATAGTATAGTATAGTATAGTATAGTATAGTATAGTATAGTATAGAATAGTATAGTGTAGTATAGTATAGTATAGTATAGAATAGTATAGTGTAGTATAGTATAGTATAGTATAGTATAGTATAGTATAGTATAGTATTATTTATCGATTTTAAATTTGTCACAGAAACGCCTCGAAATAGGAAGGGTAGTAGCGTTTCAATGACAACATGACGTGAATGAAAGAGAAACTTGCATCTAGAGTTTTTAATGCAGAGGTACAGACCTGTAGTTGCTTGCGAATTTCAGCGCTAACATTTGGCATAAATGGATGAATGAGAATTGACAACAAGCCAGTTAAATTGCAGGCAAGGGCAATCACGCTGCCAGCACGTGTTCTGTTAAAAAATCAAAAGCATTAATTTATCAATAAAATACGAGATACTTAAACTGCAACGTGTTACGTAACATTTATCAAACAAACCTATCCATGTCGCTTCCTTTGACAAGTACCCATGGTTTATTCGACTGGATGTACTGGTTACCAAGTTTTGAGATATTGAGAACAATCTTTAGACCATCTCGTAATCTACAAAATATCAAATTGTATAAAGCTTGAGTCAAATAATGTCTGTGTAACAATAAAATTGCCAGAAATCTTACTTAATAAGATCCATCAAATGGATGTATTGTTTCAACTCACGATTGACCAAAGTTATTAATCGCTTGTCTTCATCATTTAAAATCACTGCAGGCATCTTCTTTTTGAAGTTATTGTTTAGAAACACAAGAGCTCTGAAAAAGTATAAAAATACTGATAAATTTAGACTGAATTTTTTCTTGAATGAACAGCAGAGAAGATCATTTAATGCATATAGTTCGATTTAAAGGTTTATTGTGCTTCAAAAGTCAAACATGTATACGTAAGTCTTTGGTGTACATAGAGAAATAACTGTGAACTTATTTTAAAGAAAAACAAACTCAAACCTATTGATGAAATTTCCCAAACTATTCAATAGCTCGGAGTTATTCCTCATTGCAAATTCTGCCCACGTAAAAATACTATCCTAAATACAAATTTCAGAAAGAAAAACTATCAATGTAGGAAAAATATCACAAGCACTTTTTGTCTAAATAATCATACTTGTGATTCAGGTCGTATCTGTAATAAGTAAAATCTCCAGATATCAGCAGGTATCCCAGTATCCTTTGCATTATTACCAAAGACACCAACACCACGACTTTTGGAGAATTTACCGTCTTCGTAATTCAGATACTCTATAAATAGAAAATTCAACAAAACATTAAAACTTATTCGGGAATTATTCATCACTAAAGTATTGGTATGTTTGAATCAGCACTTCCTTATTTATAACTCTTAATAAACGATCTTTATAAACAAAGCCCTAAAAAGCTTGTCTGTGATAATCGAACAATTGATTATTATCACAGAGTGATAAATAGTCACGCCATTTCTAAAATGATAATACTGATAATAGGAGTATGATAGTAAACACGACAGTTTTATAATTGCATGATTACAATTGATTGTGTTTCATACAAAACAATGCAGTGTAGCCTATGCATGAATTATTTTGTCACTCCTAAAAACAGAAAAATAGTACATAAAATACAAATATTGCTTTTTGTTTGTGTCATAATTACACTTGCAGTGAATGTAATTTTTAATAGTCTTTTATTTTATATCCTAGAACACGTCTCACCAGTTGAAATCTTACATAATATACACTATACAACACGTCTCACCAGTTGAAATCTTATATCAAACACACTATACAACACGTCTCACCAGTTGAAATCTTACATAATATACACTATACAACACGTCTCACCAGTTGAAATCTTATATAATACACACTATACAACACGTCTCACCAGTTGAAATCTTATATAATACACACTATACAACAGGTCTCACCAGTTGAAATCTTATATAATACACACTATACAACAGGTCTCACCAGTTGAAATCTTATATCATACACACTATACAACAGGTCACACCAGTTGAAATCTTATATAATACACACTATACAACACGTCTCACCAGTTGAAATCTTATATAATACACACTATACAACACGTCTCACCAGTTGAAATCTTATTAGATACACTAAACAACACGTCTCACCAGTACTAATCTTATATACCATATGCTACGTATACCAAGTCTCACCAGTAGCGTTGATATTATTAAGCATTGTGTAAGGTTCACGGGTTCCCAACAATGTGGCTGGAAACACAACTGTATGAAATGGTACGTTGTCTTTGGCCATGAATTGATACAGACTGACTTCTTTTGGGTTTTTCCACCATTTTTGCCAATGTTCTGTATAATTCGCAGTGATTGATAAATACCTATAACAAGTGAGCATTATTTTTCGTAAATTTGACCTCCTTGAAAGTACTGGTGACATCCTAGACACCTAGGTTTGTTTATGGGCTGATTATAATGGATTTCATGCACGCTTGGAGACGTTTTGTGAATATTAGTGTATATTAGCTAGTACATATATATAAATTAAATTTGAATACCCGATTGGTGCATCAAACCAAACGTAAAAGACTTTATCAGTAAAACCCTCCAATGGCACTGGTGTTCCCCATTTTAAATCACGAGTTATACAACGAGGTTTCAGTCCTTCCTGTAGCCATCCTTTCGTAATGTGTTGTGAGTTAGCACTCCAGTTTCCTATATAGCGCAGTAGGAAGGTATTTTAAATACACCAGGACGGCAAGACAGTGTACGAAACAAAGACCATACTACTTTAAATGCTCCACTAATGGACTTATAAATTTACCTTCAGACGACGACTTTTCCACCCAAGAAGTTAATTCAGGTTGAAGCTTCGGAAATTAAAAGATAAACAAAGTAATCAAACTTTATCACACTCAATATCATTGCTATACACTTTACACCATTACCACCAGAAGATGCGTGTGGTTGGTAATTGTACGTAGAATGGGGGGCTTACTTCTCAAGTTTGACTGCAAGGAGAAGCTCGATAAAGGGGCCCATGGAAACGTTAGTTTGTTCCCCACAACTAATTTGAAATGTTGCATGATTCATAAATTCAACAAGCCTGATACTGCTGCCAATGTTTTAGAATATTTATTTGAGTGAATTAAAAACTACTAACGCAATAGCTACAGTACGTACCGTATTATATGAAAAAAATAGACAATCTACACAATACGTATTTCATTTCTTTCCAATTCAACAATATATTTTCATGGATGAGGAAAATACCTTTGTTAGATCCAGAAACAAGTGTCTACTCTTTTTCACAGATGGTGTTTTACCACAAATTTTACATCGAGGAGACTAAAAACGGATGGTATGACTTTGAATTACATTTGCTAAATGACAAATAATATGTTCAACAAGTATAAACAAACATATGTACAACACAATAAGTTCAACAGTTTAGTGAAAAAAGTACCTTTAATTCTGTTGCGTTGATGAGTTTACCACAAGCATCACACTGGTCACCGCGTGCATCCTAAATGGATCAATGAGAAATTTTAGCGACTGTGCAGGTTTATCAGCCATGATCGTTTTACAGCTATTGCATTTGTTGTAATAATCGCAGTTTCTGTTTTTAAGGATGTTTTAATAAGAATCGCTTTGCTATCGTGCAATGCTTTAACCAACTTAAATTACATCAAAATACAGACTTGTTCGTGGAGAGATAACCAAATGTTTGGGATAAATATTTTTTCTTTCATTTAAGCATGAAAAGTGATAATTTTTGATTTTCTACAATCTGATTGGCAAAATGTTTCGTGAAATATTTCTTCAATGCGGACCTCCCAGCCGTTAAATAACATATACAATATGTATTTCTGAATTAAACCTACGTGAAAACCACAAAGTGGACATGTTCCTTCGACAAATCGATCAGCAAGAAATCTACATCATTATTGATAAAAAAATGATTATACACCCAGTCTAAAACGTGTGACAATACAGTCAATCCTCGTACGTACTTATTGCAACTTTCACAATGTAGCTGTTCAACTGTGTCTTCGAGAGTTAAACCATTCTTGTAGTTTTGCCAAAATATATCTTGAGAAATCCTAAAAATATCCACGTTCCAATAAATCAAATTTCTAGGAGCTCGGAGGGTGAAACATAAAGCAAACATTGGGATCTACGTACTTCGTTTGTTCTTCAGTTGTCGTTCGACCAAAATAGTCAAATTGTATGTTGAACCATTCATAGACTTCGCGATGAATTTTAAAATACTTCGTGCAAATTTCTGCAGGCGTAACACCTTCTTCTAAAGCCTTAATGAAACATTGGTAAAGAGGTAGCATATGTTGACTTTCCAACAACGATATTTTACACAAACTCTGTTTTTTGATGTATCTACACGTTGTAACAGATGCAAATATTATTACTCTCTTAGGCTTTGTCAATAATTATCAGTTAGCTACAGAGTCTTTTCATCAGTCGCCATGTTGGAGGAAGATCGCATATAGTGAAAAGAGTTAATGTTACTTTCATGCTCTGTTGAGCATCTTTGATGTAGCTCTCCATTATGGCTGCTTTGACGTAAAGCGAATACCCAAATATACAGAAATCTTACTTTTGTCTCTGATGCTGTACCATATTCATCCGTTCCGCATATGTATAAAACATTGTGCTGCCTAAGTCGACAGAACCTATGGGAAAATACCAAAAATACGAATTATTGTAAAGAACACAGTTGGAGTAATAAGTGGCAGTACTGGATCCAGCGTTCGTCAGCATAAATTATAAGCTGCTCAATTCTAAATTCAAAATATTTTCAGAAAAACACTACGAGTCTTGAATTTCTAAAGAATATAATTTTGCCAATGAACTTGTCTCTAAAGGCTGACTTCCATTCGGGGAAAATTATAGCGCGATCGACTTTTTGAGAACACTTTGTTTTCAATTGTAAGCGGTGAACCGGAAGAGTTTCACACTGCTGCACACAATTCAAAGGAAAGTGATCGCGCGAGAATTTGCCCTGAATGATAATCAGCCTTTAATCGACAGTACAAATTGTCACGCTATCGAATATTTGCGATCACTTTCAATTCAAAAGAAAATGATCGCAAAAAGACGATCGCGCGACAATTTGCAGTCAATGGAAATCAGCCAGGGACTAGAAGCTGCTGGGGGGTGGTGAAGACGTAGTCATTGTCTGTTTTCACCACATTTAATGTCTCATAATTACTTAATTAAAAATTTTATTCATTTAAAGCTTTTCAAACATTTTGCCATTTTTTGTTTTGAAAGAAGCACGGTTAATTCAAGTGACGTCAATCCGTAAGTCTGCACTCTTATTAAATCATGCCACTAGACTACTCAAATAACATGATTTCTGTAGTTATATAAATTTTCCAGTGCCAACAATACAATTTTACAAAGTTAAAAAAAATTCCTTACAACTTAATATCTCCTTTACACAAACTTGGCTTGCATGACATAAAAACTACCTTCATTCAAATTCATATAGCTGATACAACTGAGAACAATTTCGGCAAATTCGTATAATAAACATCAGTAACTACAGTCTACACAACTTACCGTGCGAATACATCAGCGCTCAAGACACAACCAATAATATTTCCCAAATGTGGCACATTATTAACATACGGTAAAGCTGACGTGATTAAGATATTTTTCTCCCCATCTTTAGGTAGACTAAAAGACAAAAGATAAACACTGAAATGTGTGGTATACGTGCACATACGTTTTTAATGTAAACGCAAAATCTTCATTCCAATAGTTTTGAAAAAAGAAACGATTCTCACATTCATCAGTAAGGCACTAGGATCTGAATGTTTATTTATCAAAAGAACGAAATTCAATTGTTTTGAAAATACGTATAACATGACAGTATTTTCTAACATTTTCTGAAACTTTCGAGTGTTCTTTCCTTGGGTAGTGCCATGAAACAGAAGATAGCTGTTACTTAGCGACCATATAGAAAAGAAATTTATTTAGGCTTCATTTTGACTCTCAATGATAAAGTGTAAAACCATTGAGAGCTTCGATAGAGCCAAGTAGCAACCCAACGTTCAATGAAAACATCCAAAATTAACAGTGTAAAAGTATTGAGAGCTTCGACAGAGCTGAGTAGCTACCAAACGTTTAACGCAAACATCCAAAAACATCAGACTTACATTGGATGTTCAAGAACACGTCTTTTGGGAATTTTTTTCGTTTGCCAATTTGCTATAGCTTCGTTGATTTCCATTTCATCAACATCATGAACATTCTAGAAATTATGGATACATAAACATTAACTACACTGCTAGATGAAGTTCTTAACACAAATGAGCAACATCACCTCATCCTGTTCCAGGTTTTTAGTAGGAGCTACAAAATACAAAAAATGATTCATTATAACTTTCATATTCCTCCTTTTCTTGAAAATGCAAAGTAGTCGAAGACGAGAGAAATAATTTCACAGCAATCAATTTTTCATATTTAACGAAAACTTTAAAAACAATCACCGCCTAATATTACATAACGTGATCTTAAACTCAAGAACATATTTGTAGAGCAAACAAAATCTTGCTTGCAGACAAAATTAGGATGATAACACAGAACAGATAAAAAGTTTAATCAAAAGATGCTGTATACAAGTATAATTAGCGAAAGATATAATAAGCAAAATATAAAATCTTTGAATAAGTAGAAAACCTTCAGGTACTCTTAAATCTTTCTTCGTACATGGTATTGAGTATGATGAGTTGTAGGCCAGAATAGCCTCCTGTATTTAAATAAAACAGAAAGATACTAATTGACTCTTTCGTTCAACATTTATCCGGAGAGAATACTAAATCGCAGGAACAATTGATTTCCACACCTTGAAAACATCAGGCCCTTTCCCTTCAGTAATGGCTTGTGATAAAGAATAAAATTTATTGTTTTCCATAAGATTATTGAACCACGTCATCACTTGGCAAAAATGGTCGTTTATGTCTAGCTCTACAAAAGTAATTAAACGAATCTATGTAACAACCAAAGTTGTACAAATTGTCGATCAGATTGCGTTTTGATATATTCTATGATAAATAATACATTAAAGCAACCTTTTACGTGTGAAGACTGTGCCAGTAAGGGATAGAGCGTTCCCCAAACAACAACATCTGACAAGGATAGTTTGTTCTGAATGAACATAAAACACGTTTTCAATTCTTTAGAAGCACACTTCATGCATATGCACAGAAGAAACATACCACTTTGTTCTAACAAGAAAGGCATATTATCTAATTATTAATATTAATTTATAAAAAAAATGTTTAGTTTGGTCTTCCTCATGATATTAAACATTTATAAACATTGTGGTTTCTGAGCCTGTATAGCTTCATCAAAACATGCAGAAAAATAATATAAGAAGCAATATACGCTTTACAGTTGGCATCAAACTATTCCAAGTATTTCTAACACAAAAGCAACACATTAGTACATTTCAGTTGAACTTGTTTGGGTGAGCTTTTTTACATAATGTTTGCATAATGACTCAAATAAAAATGCAAACAGTTTGTGCAGAATAAATCTCAAAGTAACATTCTAATGGCAGGAAATATAGTAACAATATTTTAATGGTTTATCTAACCATGGATGAATAATCACAGCATTAATTCCTGGCAACACCCTACATCTACATTTTACAATTTGATTTATCTCTGACACAACACAAATGATCAAAAATAAATGTGCCCAATGAAGTTAGACAAGGCCAACTTGTTTGATGAGCTACATATGGCTTCAACAATCATCCAGACCAACACAAAGAAAAAACACTATTTCACAAGTCAAGCAATGCTAGTAATACATGATTGTACTAACCCCAGCTATATATTTAGCTTCAGGTTTTAGGTGTGATTCCAAATGTGAAAGACATTCTTTGATATTGCTAACATCCATGGAACAATTTGGTGTGAATGAGGATGCCAAAAAAGAGAACATTGATGGCTAGAATAACGATTTAGTAAATCTAAGTATTACTGATAATATTTCCTTCCCATTAGATGAATATAAGAATGTACATAGTTTTGACATAAATTTTAGCTTTATTAATGCATTGCACCTGTAACTTCAAGAGATCCCATTCCAGCCAATGGTCTTCAAAGGATAAATTTTCAACTTTTATTTCATATCTTTTGTGAGTCTCACATTTCAATAGATACCTTAGAATGTAGTACTTACGTATAAAAGTTAAATACTTAATACTAATAAATGCAGAACCAGTGTGCGAATTAACGGTGTGCAATGTGCAATTTGCACATCGTTTTAGCTAAAATGAAAACAATTGCACATCACTTTTTAAAACCATGTGCAAAAATCAGCGGTTTTAACAAAAAACACTGTTGTAAATCATATGAATTTGTTCACGTTTAAAAATATTAATTTAGCATTTAGCGCTGTATAAAAATTACGTAACATCAATGTGATTATACCTCTAAAGAAACACTTTTGTCAAAAAAATTGCACATCATTTTTTCTGAACTAATTCGCACACTGTGCAGAACTAAGTTCTACCTTGCTCAGTAATGAACTTTAATACGAATGTACCTACGTAAATAGCACTTACCGAGTGATTGCATTCGCACTAAAAAGGTAATGATCATTTTCCACTTCCAAAAATGGCAGCTAAATAAATGATAAAAAATTTCAGTGCATAGCCACAATGTACAAATGTAGCCTATCCATGGTGAAATTCCTGAGTAGGATCCTGTAAGATCCTGTTACAATCCTCAACTGGATTCTATTTAGGATTTTCATCATGGATCCAGCATTGACTATTAGTTCTATATCATTATGTGTAACTTAACACAAGTAATTTATTGTATAACTGAGGAAAAATGTCACCTACGTATAATGTGTAACATATTGGAACTAATCAGTGATCAACAAACAATTGATTTTCTGTGTGTAACATGAAGCACCAACTACGTATAGAAAAGTATGAAACATTCAAAAACTAAGAAGCAATAGCAATAGCCACACAATACTAAGAAAATAGACACTCCGTATGAAGTAAACATTATTTAATCTAAACAATTTGACAAGTGTTAAATGTCATCATCAGTAGAAAAATGAAATGGAATGGTTTCCCATGTTGGCTTACAAACAAATTGATCAAAATCTACACAAAACCTCTCAAACATAACCATGAAGAAATCACACAACCTGTTATTTGGATCCATCTACCTTTCATAGGTTTTAAAGGTTGTAGAATTGTTAAAAGTTGCAAACGCAAGATTTCTCATTATCTCAAAAAACTTGTAAAATTTACAAATCACTGGGAAACTGTTGAAATTAAAAATTTCTCATTACAAAAGGTTAAAACTCCTAAACAATAAAATGGTTCCGTGGTTTACAAATTCAATTGCCCTGGTTGTAATGCCTCATATATCGGGAAGACTGATAGATACCTCTACACACAAATTAAAGAACATGCAAAATCGGACAAATCAGAGATTTACAATCATATAAATAATTGTGAGCAATTTAAACATATCAGTTTCTTACTAAATTTGCATGCTAATCTAATAGATTTTAATTATTCTTCAGTTTAGCTGATATAATTTTTAAAAACTGTAAAATTATTGATCATTTTAAAAATTGGTTCTTACAATACTTTACTAACAATACTTTACAGAATCATGGTGTTCGTGCATCATGTGAGTTAACAATTTTCGGTTGATTATTTATTGATTTTATTTAAATGATGTTTAATCACAATTTTTGAAAAGCTAAGATTTTTCTACTGATGATGACAAGTAACAACTTGTTGAAATGTTTAGATTAAATAATGTTTACTTTATAAGGAGTGTCTATTGTCTTGTGTTTTACTAAAATACTCTTTGGATGTCGTAATTTTCAGACAATACCAGCACTACAACAAATTAATACTAAAAGAATCTAATAATAATAATGATAAATTGATAGAATGTATAACTACTTGTATTTATATTCTACAGTTGTTTATATGATGCCTGCTCTTGATTTCACCATATAACCAAATGGTACTTACCTTTGTTTCTTTGAGAAAGGGAAACCTTTTTAATGATTCTGCAAAAAAATAAAAAAGTGCAAATAAGAAGTTGTTTTATGATAATACTTTTTTAAAAAATTAATGCAGAACTATGCAAGAGTTTTTTATTGCTCCATTATTGTTAAAGTCAAAGATTCATGTAGTTTAATGTTGTTAATGGCATATATTGAAGACATAACTAAAATAGCACTTTCATAAACAATTTCTTCACAATTTTCTCAATATCCAATCGAGTCATAAAGGTTCACAAAAGAAATTTCCAAATTCTCTAAGAAATTTTGTAAGATATTAAGCAATAAGTAGATAAATTATTCAACAACATGTACAAAAAAGAAAAAGCTATTACGATAATACTAATACATAATACTTTCTAAAGCAAACTATTTATAAAATACAATTTCAATGCAGCCACATGTCAAGTCAATGTTAAGTGTTAAGGATGCAACATAGTTTCTCATTAACATTTAGGCAGTTATTATATGTTAGGCAATTAATACCACTGTACAGATTATTGATTACTTGTTTTTCTTGAATTGTGTCCAATAAACTCCCTTAACAAGTTTTGAAAGTTGATTATTGAATTCATTTACGTTGTTGCACGTTGTATTCAAAATCACATCCCTTCAAAGTCTCATAGTTTATTTAACAAATATCTTATTTAAAATCTATTTATGAAATTGGATGCAATACTAGCGTAAACAGGCCCGTGTGTACCTGACACTCACGTAAAAGGTTAACTAAACTTACATACCATTTTTTTCGACGTATTCAACAGTAAGGTTAGTTTCAGCTAATTTGTCTGCCACTAATATTCGTAGCGTTAAAGGATTAAATTTATCTGTGTAAAGTTTCATTGCCTCAAAATAGCAAGAAGCGGACTCTTTACGTTTCAAAATATGAATAAATGCTACATTAAAGCGTGTGAAAGCTTTGAAAAGCGAAATCATAAAGCCAGTTTAACAGGCATCGAACATTTATAAACACGTTGTATACGTAAATACAACGTCAATGATGCAATCATGAAAGGCCCAGGTGGTTTTTGTTTGGCGAATGATTATAGCCAATCAGCGTGCTAGAAATTTCTGAAATAAACAACCATGTCATTTGATACAGGAATACCCATTTAACACCATTATATTTATACCAAAGAAATAAACGTGTTTAGGCCCGGTTCAAACGTCGCATTTTACATGCGCCGAATCAAATGCGAGAATTATGTGCATGTAAAATGCGACGTTTGAATCAATTAAATTCGACGGATTTTAATTTAATGCGACTTTAGTCGCATATTCGACTGAGTTAGTCGAATATTCGACGGAAATTCGATGTTGATTCAAACGTCGCATTTTACATGAGCCGAATTTAATGCATAATTTATTTTAAGATATTTCTAAGCAAAAATCAATTATTTCCATGCTAAATGTCATGCGCAAAGTTGTAAAAACATGGCGGCGGCGAGTGATGGTAATGGCCCTTGTATTTCGTGCACAAGTTTAACAAAATACACTTGTTTAAAGTGCAAAAAATTTATATGTACAAGGAAAGTTTCCTCGAGTACACGAAATGTTTTTTTGAATCAGAATAAATACTCCAAACTTTCTTCCACCAGCCGGAATTTCTATCTTGTCTTCGACATGATCGATAAGGAGGCTACGTATGAAGGCTTTTTTTTGACCAATTAACGGTAGAAAAACATGGGAAATTTGCAGAAGCTGCCGTCTCGTTTCTAATAGTTTATTTGCTGTAACATGCATCAATATTCGTCTTTTCCTATTAACACAAATCATATTTGAAATGCATAAACTCAACATTTTTCTGTTCGCCATTTTAGGAAATTAGTACAAGAAAATGAATAAACTATGAAAAAGTGGAAGCATAACTATAATAAATGCGACTATTAAATTCGACGTCTGAATCAAACTACGCATTAAACTATTTTAGTCGACTAAAACGCAGATTTGATTCGGCGCATGTAAAATGCGACGTTTGAACCGGGCCTTACTCGAAGGTCAAGAGTTGCACGGTTAGCACTATTTTCCACCCAGCAAACCGCCCTTTACTTTGAAATATAATATTTTACACAATATAATATTTTACACAATCTAATATTTTACACAATATAATATTTTATATAATATTTTACACAATCGTCGAAAAACGACATATTTTCCAGCCTGGATTATAAGTTTATAACTTAAGGTGGTTGCATGAAAATTTATACTGCAACATTTATCTGTAAATATTTTCATATATTGATATTAAAAACTGTATTATAAAAATATAAAATTACTCGCCATCTCAAAACGACCTAGCACCAGTGCATGCATGGTTTCCTTTTAGCTTTTGGTTCTTTCCCATTAGCCGCCATCTTTAATTTATTTCCGATTGTGTAAAGTAAAGGGCGGTTTGCTGGGTGGAAAATAGTGCTAACCGAGTTGCACCTGCTCGAGTCAGTCGAGAGTTCTGACAAACGTCTCCGAGGTTTGCGTAAGCCAGTGTAAACACGAAACACATCTTTTATTTTTTTTTTAAATACAATAATGCGAAACAGACAATTTTAAAACAAACGTTTTAATTTTTTCTCTTAAGAGTGTTCATGATCAATTCGCAAATTCTCTTTGACTGATTGATTGTTTTGATTGATTTGATTTGTTGAGCTCAGATCTGTTTTGAACAGGCTGATGCAAACACAGCTAGAGACCAATCACCGCACGCGTTTTATTGTTTTTGTTTTATAAATGTGGTTATTTTATTTTATAAGGAGGCTGTCGTTCATCACGAGAGAGTTATGAGAAAGTTACATTGTAAAAGGGAACAAGTTAAAAACGTTTAAACATGGTTAGAGTTGGTTTAAATTATAAGTCAAAAAGGCAGAAGTTGTCTGAACCTTTGCAGTATACCTGGATGTTCTAGCTTCTTTTATGAGAAGAACTCTTGTAAACAAAAAGATAAAATTCGAAAGCATAAAATCCCGCTTTAGGTCCATGCTTCCCGATACCCTCTTAATCGTTGGGCACTAGCACACCGCATGTTAACGTTTTGGTAGGATATTTCGACCTCTCCACGTTATCCTACTTGGGAATACCAATATAGCAAGCTTCTGCCCCGAGATCGCCTGGGATAGGCTTTGCTCGGGGTACGCAGGGAGAAGGCGAGCGCGACCGAAGTCTGGGCACCTGAGGCACTGCATACTTAGGGGGTGTTTACATGAATCCGGAATGAGTTTCGATCCGGAATGAACTCATTCCACTTTAAAAGAAATCCTATTGCATGTTTACATGAATCCGGAATGAGTCACAACTCGATCCGGATCGAGTTCATTCCTAGTTTCATTCCGGATCGAAATTTCATTCCGGATCGAAATTTACTTGTTATCTCATGTAAACGCGAATTGAGTTTCATTCTGGAATGATATTGTGATTAATGACGGAGCACGCATGTGGCTTGGGTATTGTCTTCCGGCAAATTGAAGCTCGTAAGCAAATAAAGAGGCTAAATGGGTTAAAATGAGTGCGAAGGAAAACAACAATTAGTTTCATGTAAACACGGATTGACATCACGTTTCGATCGGGATTGAAAGTCATTCCGGATTCATGTAAACACCACCTTAATCGCACCAAGCTTCCACTGCCAGTTGACACCTACTATATGAAGTATTACGAAAGTTGTCGTATGATTGACATCATTACCACGCATGCTCAGATGATTTCTTTGATAATTTGCGACTAAGTGAGCCATTTGCCATGAATTTATTGCAAATGCACCAGTTAGTCGTTGCTATGACTATGGACAATTAGTCGAGTGGACTGTGCATGCTCGAGCGCACGCGCAGATGATTTTTCTGTTAAATTGTTACTAAGCATAATATTTATTTCAAAATCTGTGCTGAAAGATACAGTTGGTCGTTACCATGCACTTGTTTTGACAAATGCATTTCAAACTCATCAACACTTTGTTACGCCACTCGTAATATCTGTGACAATGTTAGAGATGGTTATATTTTTCTCCATAACTTTGTATCTGCATATTTTGTGCAGAAGCAATGCTCTAATATTTATGACAGATATTATAACTTGTGACTGAGGTAGAAATAATACTTGATAATGAAACTTCAAACGGTGACACACAATCAGGCATTTCATATAATGACAGTTATAAAACTGTGTTCCACAATACATTGATTATTTTCACCGAGAGGCAAGGAAATTGCTGATTGCTCTCAAAATCTAGTAGTATGAGTAAGTTTAAAGCAAGTATGATTTTAACACATGCTTCTGTGGTCTAACTCACCCAAAAATAAAAATATATTTCATTCTGTAAAAATTGAAAGATTGTAGAATTGAAAATGATTATCATGCGCATTGTTCTTATAATTTCATAAAAAAATCCATTTAACAGTAAGATATCGAAGAAATTAAATACACGGCCAATTCAGAATTTTCATCTTGATCCTTTCGTTAGCATGGTCTGTGAGGTTGTTTAGCTGAAATTGAGAAAATTTATTTTAGCCCAAAGTCGAGTAACTTTTTGTATATGCTGATCACAACCACATTTCTTCATTTTTTCGCTGTTACCCAGTCAGAAATTGAAACTTAACGCTTGTCTTGGTGCGTAAATTTATTACATACATGCATGGTATGTTACAAAACTAACTGACGCGTAATACCGTCACTATTTGTATGCTCTCATGATATAATATAGTAAAATTCGTCAATGTAAATTTCAGAGCAATGTCGTCATTTATTTCCTTAAAAATCTATTGTTTTCACAGTATGTAAACATCATGTGGTAAACACATAGGCATAAGGCGGCCAAATTTGCCAGATGGCTACCCGGCTATGCCACAGATAATATGACCTTTCACCTTAAACCCTTGGCCAAAAAGACATACGTTTAATGACCTTTGACCTGTCAGTCTGGAGAGGTTCAGACATATACATATTTATTATAAATACGGCCTTTAATAGGTTATTTCTCGTGCTTCTTCTTTCAAATTTTCCTGACCAAATTTCCCAGTTTCAATAGAAACATTCAATAGCTTACTTTAACTGTTTATACTTACCGAAATGAAACCCATGTCACAACAACTCCGGTAATTCCAAGAATAGCCAAAAAGCTGATGACTATTATTATAATTGCTTTTTGTCCAAAGTCTAAAATAATGTGTATAAAAATAGGTCCATTAGCAGTTTAGCACTTAACTTTCAGGTAAACGAGTCATTAAAATCAATCTCATAAAGTTAACTTAAGGCCTTCTACTTAAAATTTAATTCAGACAAATTTCATTGGATGTTCAGTTCATGACAGCTCGTCGATAGATCGTGCTCACGGTTGTTCATTTCAAAAAAGGCAACCTCACAACTTCAATTGTCATTTTACCCTCGTTTTTGCAAACTAGCGGTTTGGATAAAATTACCATAAAAAAGAACAATTAAAGCAGACATAATTTATTTCAATATAATATATCAACATACCATCGTGTAAGTGAACAGATGGATTAATTCGGTTTGTTGTAACCATAACTGTGGAATGTTTTTTATTTATGAGTGGTGTAGTCTTCGAGACTTTGTTGTAATTGGGAGCTGAGAAACAGACAAAGAAAAGATGGACATAAACAGCCATCCTACTATACAATTAGAAAGCTAAAGCTACTGTGTAGAGATGGGGGTGGGTAAACAAATTTTTAAACATTTTCGATTAAACAGAGGATGTAGACGTACCTAGTGATGCATATTTTTTATGAGATTCTTGATTTAATTATCGCTTGTTTTATGATTAAAGCAAGTATTCAGGAAATTATCTCAAGTTTTGTTAGTATTTTCTCACTCCTTACGAAAGGACAATTAATAAATGCATACATAATTTTTCTCATAATATAATATACTAACATACCATCGTTTAAATGAACAGTTCGTTGTATTGGTGTGACCACAACAGTGGAAATTGTATTTATAGGTTTTGTTTTTTCCGTTGTAATGTTGATATAATCGAAATCTAGTAT